ATAGGCAAGCCCGACTACCACGTCAAGGTAGCAAAAACGGTCAGGCTTCTTAGTAGTCCTACATATTTCTTTTAAACAGATGAAACAACAGTATTCCAATACCGCCCGGTTATAGACAGTTTGTATTAGTAATTCGTTTTAGAAGTAGTTTCTATCTATATCAACCTATCAAAGGCCTGGCATTCATAAGTGCAATAAGCTTCTTTATAAATATACACTGTTAAAAGTTTAGACAGCATATGTTAGTAAACCAAAATGTACGGATTTTTTCAAGTCATTTTGTCTCTAACGTTTCCTTTCCAGGCCCCTGAATACGCCAGTAGAAAAGCAATTGTTAACGACTTTCAGTACTTATTCAATCAGCCATTACCTCTGCTTAACTTAAATTGACTTAAGATTAAGGTAGCTAATTATTTTGATGACAGTGTATAGTCATGTTAATTCTTATTTATTTACTAATTTGCACTTATTAACTAAGTCAAAAATGAATCCGAAATTTTGTGCATTAGTCTTAAAACTTTTATTCTAATCTGTATCAAAAATACAGGTCCATTGACCGATACTTATAAAACTGGAAACCAGTTAGCTCATGTTTCCAAGAAGTACTTCGATATGTTATATACTCACTGGTTGTTGATGACTTTCACCGTGTTTATTCAGTTAAAGAATTCGTGAAGGCTTTGTAAAAGCACTTATCAACGATGTCTTAAACTAGTCCCTAATTTGGCACAAATTATAATAATGTAATCAAATACAAGAACTTAACATAAAGATGAATGGTCCATGACTGTTATATATTGACCGAAATTTGTATCACCTTTCCAATTCGTACTTTATCTGCCTAATGTGATTAATAAGAAAATCTATTGTTGAAAATATATTTAGGTACTAGCTATTGCATACAGCTAAAACTGACATATGAAATAATTGATTCGATTTAAATTTGGATATAAACCGTAAAAGCATTGAAAAGACAAATATATATATTTAAGATGTTCACATCTGTTCATAAAATCCCTCCATGATGACTACTTAGTAACGCAAAACTGAATTTTAACATTAAACAAATATTCGTGTACTAACACAGAAGAATTTTTTTGAAAGTGGCAGGTAAGTTACGAAAACGGACGGGAAGTAACTTTAATGCTGTCTACATGTAACAACCTAGTATCTGCTTCTCCTATTTAACTGACTATAATCTGAACTTGTGTCATTTTATTTCTTTAATAAATTATATAGTGGAAGATATGATACGAACATATTTTGCAAATTACCATGAAGTTAATTCTGTTTTATCTCTGAAATTTTCACTAATAAGTGGCACTGTTATTTGATGTTTCAATCAGACTAAAAATAACAACATTAAGATATGACATACAATGCAAACTAAGATTTGCTTATTTTTTGGCAAGGTGCAAATACAATAAAGACATCTATTATGCCTGGAACCTGTAATAAGTTTATCAAAGGGAACCTCTAAAACTGTTTCAAAGGGTATCAATAACCGAGTCACAATCGCCGAATATTGTTGAAATTTCGATTTTTCCGGGAATCGATTTAATCAAGATAAGCTGTCATACACTGAGTGACAAAGCAAGAACATTTATTTCGGAGAACTATATATACTTGTTGTTTGATTTTCCGGATACTATAATATTTGGTGTGGAAGATTAATCTGTGATGAATGTAAACATTAACAAGGATGAGGAGTAGTATAGCCCCTTGAGGTTCCTGTCATCTCACCACGGAAAAAGGAACATTTTCCCAACAACCCAAAAACATGTTATATTTTTAGTGCCTTTAAATAACAGAACCATTGGATTTGATAAGTGGATCTCAAAGTGAAGGGAGGATTTAAACAAATCCATACTAAAATTCTCATTCTTAGAAAAATATTTGTGGTAAATGTGAAGGACGATGGGGATAATGAAAACCCCGACAAACACTATTTGACGTCTTTTAACACAATAACTTGTAATGAGCTCTTGCATGACAGGTGGTGGTTGAGTAACAAACTTTTATTAAGGTGATGCTGTTCTTTTGCAAGCTTTGATGCAACAAGCACTGGTATAGGGGACCTTGATCAACAATTTTGTGTTATCATTAAGTTTAAGAATTTATTTTTTATCTAGAGTTTGTATGTATGAGTTTCAAAATATTTAGAGGGATAGGGAATTAGTCATCTTATTAAAAGTTTGCCTAAAAACCCTCCGGTTTCTTATTTCCCACAACTTTAGTGTTGTGCAACTATGGACTATATATACAGATTTTAAGCTCATTACCTGTAGTGTTTATTCTAACTTAGAATATTTCTTGTAAATGATTCCATATCTATATATATACAGTACTACTAGCCAAACCGAATTTCATTACTACAATTTATGGAATTGATTCGCATTTATTGCAGAACGACCTCTGTTCCTTCTTATAAACAGTAACAATAGTTTTCTGTGGCCAGTGGGATGGAATTATATTCCGGTTTCAAAATGTAACTAATATTTCGTCTACTCATGGTGCTGATCCAGGAACACAACTCATAATGACCTGGAAAATTAACTTTCCGGGTTCTGTTGCTTTTTGTCAGTTCAGGTTAGCGATATCTCTGTCTTTAGAGCACAGTCATAAAGTAAGAATTTCCGATGTGCCGAATTAACCATCTCTGTAATTGACGCTGCAGTTTTGCGTTTTTAGGTAGTTATATGAAACCAATTCAGTAGTCATAAGTATTTTTGATCTGTTTTAGGTATCAAAAACTATAAATCACGCAAAAATTGTATATCAGATTAAATATGCAATTTCAATCTTTGGAATTTCAGACGAAATTATTCTAAAACAACAGATACAGAGAATACAAGTACACTGATATTCATTGATATTAAAGCTCACATAATTAATATGTCTTATCATTGGGTAGAAACTAAATTTTAGTTTTCACTACGAGAAAACGAGCACAAATAAATGACTGTTTTTACTCATTATGCGGACAACTTGAATTTGAATAGTTCGTGAGTGAAAACGGGACAAAAAAATAACTTTTTAAGAAATATATATGTTTGATTGAAGTTTTGTGTACTTTTGTTGGTGGAAAGTTTAATGTTTTCAAGTCACTTTTTCTTGGGAAATCAAACACCTTATTTAAGTAAGTAATAGTGGACCCATCAACAAACACCAGCGAGGAAAAACAAGATCTTCACTGAAAAACAAATTGAAAGAATCAACACCGGTCAATCCACATGCCATCCTTTAAACTGAAGGTCGAATATCGTTCTTATCAATTCAGAAGAGAGGTATATAAATCGTGCATGAATAAAGGGAAACAAATTTTCACTGAAACTAACCACAAATGGTTATAAAACACCTTTGATTTATTGATATGATGAGCTAGGTCTTTGAGAAAGCAGATGAAATGCATTCTTTACATCATTTCATAGCATCTGGAGTAAACCTAATGTGGTCGAAACTTGTAGTTTTTGAATTGAATGTGGGTCTCAACCCTACATACGTTAAACTAGAATATGGCCAAAATATTCTTGTGAGATAACATGCTAGTTTCTTAAAATACATGAAACCATAATAGAACAAAGCAGAACAACCAAGAGCACAAAGCTTTGTTACTGTTAATCCTCTTATTTACGTACCACATTGTCAATGTATCGTTCTAACGTGAATCAACTACTTCTGTCAAACAAACTGTCAGAGGCAATGTTATTTATCATGCATCATCTGCAGAAGTAGTTTTGGGAGTCACACATTCTATCCCTACTAACCTTTGCGATTTTCTCATCAATGCTTTACAAAGTAAACTTCAGACAAAGTTGAATCATTTGTATGGTTCATGAAAAAGTATGTTTTTTAGATATGTCATTTTTATCTAGTTATTTAATATCCCGTGAGTCGTGTAAGGTTTAATTAAAGATTACATGTTGACGGTGTCTACTACCTATTTGTTAGCAGCTCATCCATAAAAATTACTCATTTGAAAACGACTTTTGAACTAATGAATAAAAACTGATTTAGTTCTGAATAAAATTACAGCATATATTATATATCATATATCTCTATTAAAATATAGGATTTAAGTCGTTTAGACAGCTAAATAGTTTCTAGATATATGAATAAGCCTGAGATATTCGGTATCGGTTTTCAGAAAACATATACAACCCTATGAAAGTACGATTTTGAATCACAATTATCCAAACCAATAGTTTATGTTCACTTACGGTTTATCTGGAGATAGTTCAAAATGAAGTTTACGAATCAAGGCATAGGCCGGTATACTGCTTGTGCTTAATGCCCTGGTGGATTTAATTCTGTTTGTCATTTTGAAGTAAAATTTGCCTCACAGCTAAAACTCATACGCAGTTCGAAAATGTGGTCAAGAAATCCAATATTCAATACCTCTGCAATTGTATTTTATAAACTGTTTGCTTTCTTTGCACTCACTTCCTGTTGTTTCAGTACCTTTCCTAGTATTTGATAATGTCCACTTAATAAAAGCCCAGTCAGTTAACTGCACCAATTTTAGTCACACTGAGAGTTATTTGTGGATTTGCATATCATGTGGTTTGAGTGAATCAGTTTGTCTCAGGGTATTAGGGCTTCTGGATACCAATAGCCATCATGATGCCGAACAGGAGGTTGGTAAGTTCCAATATTGAAATAATCAAGTGATTGCTCAAATGCTTATAGAAGACAATGGTTTCAGAAATGAATTGACAAGACAACTAATTGGTAATCCCGGCACTGTGAGAAGGCCAAGGTTGTAAGAATAATAGGAGAAACGGCGATGATAGTAAGAGTGACAGGAAGTATATGCTGATGTGCGGTAATGGCGACCGTGCCAAATTGTGACACATGAATCGGACTGAAGTGGTAAAGCATGACTATCTCCTAGTTGAGGAGCTCATCAATGGGAAGTAGTAATAGAAGTAAAACCATGTTTAACGTGGTGAAAAACACGAGTGCGTAGCAAACGTGAAACAGAGCGACTGTCTTCCAGAATGGTGTACTTTAGGAAGTCCCATTCTAAATCCTTGTCAACTGCCAGAAAACGTCGTTCACAACGTAATTCCTGTTCTCGCAGTGGTCAACATCCAGTGTCATCACCTAGTGATAGTATTGTAAATGTAGATAAAAAAAGATATTCGCATAACTTTCCTAGTAGAAGTGGTTTCTTTTGCGAAATAGAATGTTTAGATAGATTACGATCGGTTCCTGTTAAAGCAAGTGACTCTTCACAAAAGTCATCCAACATAGAAAATCAAGGAGAAGTCACTGATAACACGGATATCGGCCGTAAGTCGAATAATGAGTTATTGGGAGAAGATTTGGATGCTGACACTGAACCGGAATATGAAGTACAACCAGAAAAGTTAACAGATAGATCAGTATGTCGAAAATATATACAGTCTAACTCCCGTCAGGACCGTCTTAATTCAAAAGAAACAAAAGAGTTTTGTACCTCAAAAGGACATTCACCACCCTAGTTACAATAGAACAGACTACACCAGAGAGGTGGAGGTTAACAACGGATGACTACTAGGAAATGGTGAGGGTCGTCGTACAGAATGTTAGGCTCAAGATAAGAATTCATCGAGAAAGCGAAGATTCTGAGTTAAGTCCCTCCGAAAAATTTGAATCGTGGTTTTTGTTCAGCGTTTTGGTACGAATAAATACCATGGAATTTCTGAGGCACTAAAGTTTATCCATAAGCAATCTTTGTTAGAGAATTCTTATTGAAAGGCAAGTAATTTGGCCGATGAATTTATGTATGATTAAGAAGACACTAAAATATACCGAATCAATCACTGAAGAAGACATTCCGTTGAAACATTAGTGGAAAGAATAGGAAAAGCGTCAAAGTCGTCGTTCTCGCTGTCATGGGGAAGTAATGTGAAAGTTCACCCATTTGTTGCTCTATATTGAAAATGTCGCTAAATTATCTAGACTTCACTTAACCGTCTTTCTTTTGACTAACGACGATTTTCTTTTGTGTCCCGTGAATGCAGTCGATCACATTCGAAAATGATGTAATATTATGGGCATTTATGGTCCAGAAGTAACATTATAGTTTACAATTAGATTAGTAACAAACAAACATTCGAGCTACGATCGTTACGCATTTAATTGCAAGTTCAGTTGTCTACACGAAAGTAAGTGAATGATAAGGTCAGTCGAAAATTAAGTTGAGCCTAACGGCAGTTGCGCGTTTTTTAAATTTCAGCGTTACTGTTCCCAATTAAAATAATTTCTCTGTGAAAGTACCGTTACATCATGATATCACATACTTTTGTAAGTTCTTTTTCGTTAGCAAATGACGTTAAGAACGGCGACGTTAACGTAAACAATGACTGGAAAAATGAATTTTCTCCGTATGCTTCTGAGACGTTTTTTTTGATGAAGTGGCAAGTAAGATGGTGAAATGGCTGTCAACTTCAGGTGTCATGACGTATGACAAAATGTAGCACATGGACGTTTTAGGATTGTCATCCACCGGGTATGCAACTCATAGTCATATCCTGCTGAAGACATGCAGCCAACTTCCACAGGTCCTCTTCAGATGACAAAGGGAAATACCAAATTGTTTGTCCAATATCAAGTTTTCGACTATGTTCGCGTCCATCACAATAAGACATCAGCTGCATAATGTTTGCACTCAAGTCTTATGTAGCTGACACGTTCTGCAGAACAGGTTTAAGTTTATTCAATCTTAAGGATTAACTCAAATCTGAAACGTTACTTACTCGACTAGGACGTGTAGGATGACACATTCAATTGTGCCTAACTACTTTTCGTTAAGACAAGCCTATTTCGAAAAGGATGAAACGATATTGTTCAGTTACCTGAATATATGATATTGAGCCTGACTGTTTCCAGCCTTCATCTTAACCACATCCATCCCAACAGAATTATAAAAAACCCTTCTTTCCTTTTCATTGCACCTCCACAACACATAAATGGAATTGTTGTACATAACTTTCAAGCTTTTATGCGTTTAGTGGCAGGGTGTTTCCGCCCGTCAAATTACTGACATGGTGACCAAGTAAACTATGGAACTAAACTAAGACACCATTCGCAGTCTCTATATCAACTACAGCAAATGAGTGTCTGTATTTTTAACTCACCATAGTAGTGGATGACCTTGCATTTAATGTCAACCAATTATCGTCTGAATGGGGAGTTGTGAAGGCTATAATAATTCCACTTGTTGACTTCGTGACTTGATCTTAGCTGGACTACCATTGAAGATGGAAGCATTAGACGACCGTTCCGTTCTAGCATGGGACTCCTCAACGCTGCGCAACTACGATGTATGGTTGCGCAAGACCATGGATCGAGGCTAGACATTAACACTATCAGATGCCGGCTCAGTGGTCTTAAAGTTAAGCTTCGCGCGTGACATCGAAGGTCAGAGGTTCCGCATACTGGATCATGGATGAGCACTGCTGAACAGTCCCATACTAGAACAAAACGGCCGTCTAGTGCTTCCAGGTTTTCAATGGTGATCTAGCTTAGATCGACTCGTGAACTCAACTATTAAAGTTATCATCTGGTTGGGCACCGTTCTCCAGGTGCATATCCACAACGTTGTTAAGATAATGACAACGTTCTTTACCCACAATCTGTCTAATATTTACAATGAGAATGATGTCATAACATCGTTTGCTATGCCTAATTCAAATTATACACATCAATATCACTTTTGCTTTTTCCTTTTGTATAGTAAATTGTTTTATCCTAAATGAACGCGGAACACAGTAATGATTGGGGTGTCGGTGGTGAATTGGAATTGGCTCAAGACTTCGAAGTTATCGATCTGAATGTATGTTCTTTCTAGAGTTCGGCTAAATTTTCCTTCGATAGGAATTTGATTCTAGTTGTGGTTACGTTTCGGAAGCAGATGACTCAACATATATCTCTTCGTTTCTTAATGGTCTCGTAACTGATGAAACTCTTTATTCACGATATTTGAATGGGATTATCAGTTTTGATGATTTGATGCGTGAAATGCACCACTCTACTACTCTGGATAATGATTCTTGCCACAGTAGTGATTCAGACTGTTCTAGCAAAAACGACGATTCTGAATATTATACACGTAAGTTTACTTATGATTTATTTAAATTTTACTACAAATATACGCTTATTGTATTATATGTAAGAACCATGAGGATATATTAACAATCAGTTTCGATATTCTGTTGTCTGAAATCGCTTGATCACAATGTAGTCTGACATTAAGTAATGAAGGAATGCTATAATTGTCTCAAAGCTGAACACACCCTCGGGACCTTATACATGATCGAAATGCGTAATATCAGAATAGGTGCTTCCTACAACCATGAAGAATTATTGTTTCGGCAAATTGTCAATTTTAAAGCAACCTTAAACTATTATGCAGAGGTGATTGAGTGCTTTGTGTTAATTAACCCAACAACATAATAGATTGTCCAGTCCATACGAACGTAGATCTTGGGACAGACGTCTATCGGCCTTATCTGCCACACAACACTGGGATAATTAGGCGAAATAAATAAAACAAAAAGATAAAAAGACCGAAGTAGTGTAACAGTGGTAATGTAATAGAATAAGCAAAGAAAATATTGTTTTAAAGCTCAGAGTTGAAAGACATATGAAAGGATACTGAAATTCAGTATTTTGAGGAAGATAAAGAGTAAGTGTATTTGTGCCATTGTGACCGATTCTAAGTCATATCACCCAAGGTCTTTAGCTTCTGACCGCGGCTGTCCAATTAAGTCCTGACTGAATCAAAATTTGGAGCAGAAAACTTTCTACCCTACGGACCAATGACCTAAAACGATTATTCCTAACTCAGCCATTTCGTATTGAACTCCCAAAGTCACCAACTGTTTACATTACTACCTTTGTATTATTTTTATGTTTTAAGAGTCATTTAGATTTTCCACTTTGCTCGTATAGTTCGTTGTTAAAAGTTCTCAGTAGTGGCTTGAAGTTTATTGCGACTATCTGAATTCATTTTGTAGTTACGGTGCTCAAAATACAAGATGCTTTTTATTTATTTGAACACACAAATATTAGTACAAATGGGCACTGAATACATTTGCACCGCACAAATCACTTGATTTGTGAGTTGTCTATCATACTGCCCGGGTTTCCAAACCGAAGCATGTGGTTTCTTAGGTGGCCATACCCATAGCCTTCGACCTAAAGGTTTGATCTACAAGGCAGTGGAGCAACATCAGCGGATGCAGTGCCATGGTAGCTGGTGACCAACAATAGGTTCATACGCCATTTGTTCCTTCAGGATACTGAAGCCCATGCGCATCATCGGTTTAGAATTAAAGTTTTCCAACTCCCCTAGATGGACCCTCGGTGTCCACCAACCCGGTTAAAGCGCCGGACACTCGCTTTTCGTCCTATCAATTTCGTAAACAACACCCGTCTTATTGTTTGTAATTTTAGTATTCATAAGTTTTACAACCTGAGCCGGTAAGCTGTTTTGATACTTCTATGCACAAGACTCAATATTGTGTAGAACGAAAGGGCGATAACTGGGAAATTAAAGGTTAAGACTGTTACCTGCTTCAGTTCGGGCACCAGGACAGTATCCCAGCCCTCACACAAGTCGAATGATTTATGTAGTGCATATCCCTTTGGTGCCTCCTTGTACCTATGTTTATGTGATTAAATAAATAAAAGACTGTGACGGTAAAAGAGGTTGAGTAAGTTTCTTCTGGGTACATAGTTATGGCTCCTCCTAAGATTTGAGAAAAGCTTCAACAAACCAAAGGAAAGGGAAGCTCACATCTTTCAGTTTGTTTTTTTCTCATTGTGTATATGAATTTGAGCGGTGTGTCTGCTTTTGTTGAATGACGAGTATTCACAAGATGTTAAATGGTTGAGGTCTTCGTTGGTCCATTACTACCTCTTTTTATCCATCGGGGATAATCCTTTTGAATCTGATTTGGTAGAATGTCCATTGAACACAGAAGCAAGTGAATTTATAAATATACATGTAAGTGGTCAGATGCGAAAGCTTCTTCTTTAGATCATCATTGAATATAGGCCTACTGGTGAACACCAACCTCAAAGATGATGCAAAAACATCTTTTTGAGAGAGTTAAAAATTCTCTTTGAGGTGCCGAGATCTTTGTGATTATTGAAATCAATGTCCATTTTTGGTGCAGTGGCTGTTAATTTTGGAAGTTTGAGCTTTATATTCGGGTCAATAGATATTAGTGGATATCTATGCCCGATAAGGATTTTTCCTAGATTTAGTCCCTCATATTTGAAGTTGGGTTCATAAATCCGTCTCATTTATGTATATGTGTATGGGGTAGTGCTATAACCCAGTTCCTCTTTCTACTAATAGACATTCACATGCAAGAGTTTGTTAGTTGGACATCAAGTGAATGTCCTATGTAAACGTATCCTTAGAATTCCTTCAGGTCTTATCATCATTTCATTATTGAGGAAGCCGATGTTTAGTAAATCATATTCATCGAATAATTTGCTTTTATTGATATACTTGGATTCAAATTATTGCCATTCTAGACATTTTTACTTACGTGATATTTTCAGAAAAAAATTACTCTAAAAATATTTCTTTTAGGACCTAGGAGATCTAAAAGACGACAAAATCCTGATACAGTTGGAAAGAAAAAACTGAAATTAAGAGGACCACTTATTGTAACTTTTATCTGTTCTGAAAAATTAACATTTAACCTTTATGAAACTTAATAGTCTAAACGTGCTCGCTTACCAATTGAGTTAGCACAATATCTTGGAGAAGCTGAAAGACATTTGAACAATGATGAATTTGAACACGCTGAACGTATTTGCTATCAGATCATTGACACAGGTAAACTTATTAGTTGATGTTTATACAGTATCCGTTAAGTAAAAAAGAATACAGTCTATTATTTTTACTTAACAAGTCTTGTATTTTGTGAGTTTTAAGAAGTAGATTGTAGTTAACTGGTGCTATCTAGTGGTTGAAATATCCGATAGTGAGGTTGGTATGTATGAAAGAATCTCTGATAATATACGTGAATGTTACTGCCAAAATGATCATTTATAAGCTTTGGATTCCGTACATTTCTTGATGTGCGATTTCTACTGTTACTGTCGAGTATGTTAATATCTCAAAACACTTTAACTAAGCGAAAAAACCAGCTTTCCTGTATGGATAAAATATGATCAGGTTATCAAAATTTCCAAAATACTAATAAGCATGAAAATTCTGAACGTTAGAAAGACGAAACTTTGTCCGTCAAAGTAATATTTTGTTCAAACTCATCGGTTTTTTAGCCAATCGTACCTTTTAACAGAATTTGGGGGAGACGTTCATCTTTGTCACCGTTAGGTTTTTGTATAAACAGTTTTGGCTCGAAAAAGTAGAATTGCTTTCTTAATACAGTACACATTCATAGAACTGGTGAGAAAAAGAGTTTAACAGTCCTTATTTGCAATATCCCGACCGAAGCTGCTACCTTGACGCGGTGGTCGGGCTTGCCTATCGTGATGACCCAACCGAGCTATATTGGCTGGAACATATGTTCCTGTAGGTTCTACCATGCCAGGCAGGTCGATTAGTGAACGGTAAGACTAAAAGCAGCAACTCAAGGTCTGAGGGCGAAGTCGTACTGCTGACTGTAGAGAGGTGTGACAGCAGTAAGGTGTTTCCCTCGGACAACCAGCATGACAGCGATGCTGCCTTCCCACAAGGAGGGGTGGGGTTAGAAAAGGTCGGCCCTAAAAATGTCACACCTCACCTTACCTCACGGATCTCCGTCTCCGGCGGTAAGGCCCTTTGAAGAACGGAGCTAACACGTCAAAAAAACCTCACGAAAAGGCCGTGCGCGACCGGCCTCAAGCAGTTGTCCCTTGGGCTCTGCGGTCACGCTCCCAGGTCGTTAAGACCAACACTAATCCAATTTCCTTTTCAGGTTCCTCAAGAAATACCCTTCCACGGTGTGGGCAGCCGGGAAGTGATATCAGCCCTCATACCCGTAACAGCACACGAAACCAAGTTGGTCACATTCAAATCCTTCCTACACCTCCTAATACCTCTCTTATCTCCATGACTAACCCTCCTCACGTCTCTTTATCACCTCGCACCGCTAGAGCAAACGATTCGAGTACGTGGAACGCTATTCCTGGTCTCCTGAAACCACGCTCTAAACTACACGTAGGAGCTTTTAACGTACGAACACTTTGCCAAATAGGACAGCAGGCTTCCTTAGCTAGGACTTTAGAATCTCGCGCCATCGATGTGTGATGCGTCTCCGAAACGCGCATACAGGATCCAAGTAGCGTCATTCATTTGACCTCACCATGCCAAAATAAAGAACCGACTCGATTTACGCTTCGTGTATCTGGAAGCCCTGATTGTGCTTCCCGTGGCCTCGCCGGCGTAGGTATAGCATTGAGTCCTAGGGCAGAACTAGCTCTCTTAGAGTGGATCCCAGTAGACAGTCGTTTGTGCGCTGTCCGACTGAATGGAACAATGAGGATCCGAAAAGATAGGGACACTCGTCGTTGCCTCTTCGTCGTCTCTGCCTATTCTCCCACTGACTGCAGCTCAGATGATGTAAAAGATGAGTTTTACAGAAAGCTTTCGGACCTTCTCCGAAAAGCTAAGCGCTCGGATGTAGTAATAGTGGCTGGTGACTTTAATGCTCAAGTAGGTAAACTAAGCGATAGGGAAAGACACCTAGGTGGATCTTATGGTGTCGTGGCTCAAAGAACAGATAATGGCGACCGTCTGTTGCAGCTATGCTCAGATAACCGCCTGTTCCTTGCAAATACTAACTTTAAGCATAAGGAAAAACATCTTTTAACATGGCGACCCCCTAATTCGTCCCAATGTTGGACCCAAATAGATCACATCGCTATCAGCCACCGATGGAGGGGCTCGATAGAAGACTGTCGCCTATTCTGGAGCACATGCCTAGATTCAGATCATGCTCTAGTGCGAGCGCGTATTTGCTTGCGTCTTACTGGACGTAGGAAAGACGCTGCAAGGAAACCTCTTAGGGGCCTACTTAATGATAGTCAAGCTAAGAGTATATTTCAGGAACAACTAGGAAAACAGTTAGGTAGCCATGTATGTGATGCCCACCCTGAGGCAGCATGGAATGATATCCGAAAAGCTGTGGAAACAGCAGTGATATCTGCTAGTAAGGTAAACCAGAAGGTTAGGGAGCAACACTGGATCTCAGCAGCATCTATCGCACTGATAGATGCTCGGAAACTCATCCCACCTGGCTCTGAACATAATGAAGATCGGAGTCAGCTTAAGCGCAAGCTGACAAAAAGTCTACGCAATGATCGCGAACAGTGGTGGGTAGCGAAAGCAAGAGAGATGGAAAAGGCAGCGGCAATAGGTAATAGCAGACAATTGTTCAGACTCGTTAAGGAAACCGGAATTAGGAACCCGACCGTTAGCGAAACAATCTCAGAGAAAGATGGACATATTATTCATTCTCAATCCAGGAGATTGGATCGATGGGCAGAACACTTGAGGGATCAGTTCAACTGGCCTTCAGCCACACTTCGGTTTCCCACGATCTCTAGTCAACCTGAATGGCAAATTAATGTAGGTCCTCCGTCCCTTTACGAAGTTGAAAAAGCCATAGGAAATCTGAAACGAGGGAGAGCAGCAGGCCCTGACAGGTTTACTCCTGAGATTTTTAAGGATGGTGGTCCAGTATTAGCAATGAGACTAACCGAGGTCTTAGGTAGAATTTGGGAACTGGACGTAATCCCATCTGACTGGTCTCAATCACTGATTGTGCCAGTTTTTAAGAAAGGACAAAAGTCCTCTTGTGACAATCACAGAGGAATCAGTTTGACTAATATAGTGTCTAAAATATTAGCCTCAATAATACTTCGACGCCTAATCAAAGCTCGTGAAGAGCAGATTAGAGAAAACCAGGCCGGTTTTCGACCTGGACGTGGTTGTATAGATCAGATATTCACACTACGTCAGGTTCTAGAACACAGACACACATTCAGACGCCCTACAATGGTAGTATTTCTCGACCTTAAGGCGGCATTCGACTCTGTTGGTTGTGAGGTTCTATGGCAGTGTTTGTCACTGAAAGGAGTACCAAAGAAGTACATTAACCTTATAAAGGATTGGGTTACATCGACACCCGAACTAGTGATAGGGAGTGAAGTAGTTGAGTGTGTCGACCGCTTCATTTATCTTGGAAGTCTCATCAGCCCTTGTGGTCTGGTTTGTGACGAAATCTCAGCACGGATACAGAAGGCTCGACTAGCGTTTGCCAACTTGCGTCATTTTTGGAGTAGGCGAGATATCCGTCTAACAACCAAAGGACAAGTTTACTAAGCAGCAGTTCGTTCCGTCCTTCTTTATGGCAGTGAAACATGGCCGGTAAGAGTAGAGGATATTCGTAGGCTACTAGTATTCGATCATAGGTGTCTTCGAAACATTGCTCGTATATCGTGGGACCATCGAGTAAGTAACACAGTTGCTAGGAAACGGGTACTAGGTAAGGATGACAAATCAATTGATGAAGTAGTGAAACTTCATCAGTTGAGATGGCTGGGACATGTGTTACGTATGCCCAACCACCGACTGCCTCGACGTGCTATGTTCAGTGGTATAGGAGTAGGTTGGAAGAAAGCTAGGGGCGGTCAGACCAAAACATGGCACAAATCCATGAAGTCACTGACAAGTGGACTGAGTCATATTGGTAGGTGCAGACTATCTGGTTGGGGACCGCGAGATGATAGCAACCGATGGTTAGAGACGTTGAATGACATGGCTCAAAATCGTTTGCAATGGCGCAGGTGCATCCAGTCTCTGTGTTCTCCCAAATTCTAATCTTCTGAATTCTTCATGTCCTTTTTTCTCTTTCCAAATTTATTTCACTGGATTATACTCCTTGAATAACATCTCCAAACCCTAATCTTCATGATTACTGCTTATACTCTTATTACCTCTACCACTACGGGATTTGAATCGACAACTGCATCTCTGTGCTTATGTGGTGTGGCAACTCGAACTGATGTACGTACGTACGAAGTTCTACGTTGTTACTGACTGACTATTTGCAATATTTGATAGATACATCTACTAATTAAGTTGTAAATCTTGAATTCACAGATAGCTTTTATTAGCTATTTCAAGCGTATTCTTGGGTAAAGTGTTGTATACTAAGAAATTACATGCGCTCAGTTCATAGTTAATATGACATGCATTGCGTAAAAGTTTTCTGATGCTATTACTTTTATCTCATTCATATATTGGCACTAAATACTTAGAAGGTATACAGTGTTATTCTTTCTTGTATTTAGCTCCCCAAGCTTCCCAACCATATATTGTTTTGGCCGAAATTAGTTTTCGTCGTGGGAATCAAGAAAAAGCCAAAGAAGTGAGTTTAACCGAATTAAACAGTTCATTTCATAGTTGAAAAATAATTAGCACTTTGTTGATTACGAATTTATTGAGAGATCTTCAACATTTATTTAAAATAAGGGTAATAGGGATGAGAAGTTGGTTGTTTTCCCGGTCTGTGATTTACAAAATTATTCTAAAATTTACAGCTATGTTTCCGACTAATTTCCTCATAGTGAGCACACTGATTGCAACGTTTTTGTTCTGCCAACTAATTCGATTCTTTGGTTGTGATTCTTTTTCAGTTTTTATATCAAGCTGCTCAGAGAAACCCATCCGATAAAAATACTTGGCTTACTCTAGTGGACTGGGCTGAAGAAGCTGAGGATTTCCCTCTTGCTATACACTATGCACGACAGGGTATGCATTTTTGCGTGATCAGTTCGAGAGTAGTCTACTTGTATTTATCAATAGGACTTTTAAAGTATTTTTTATTGCAGAGAGGAAGTGCATCTTTGGGTTTTCTTATTATTTTACCACTTCAGCCCTTCGAAGAAATCGAGCTGATACATCATTACGCCAACGTCTTATAGACTTATGTCATGTAGCTGGTCGAAGCAGAGAGGCATTACAGTTACGTTTGGCCGCTCTTTCAGTTACTCCGGAGTCGACGGGTGAGAAACAATTTGAAGTTGCTCGAGAGCTAGCCGATGTAAGTTTTACTGAACTTTATCCTAACCTGTTAACTTTGTCGTTGACGTGCTTTTAGAGATAACACTTTTCTCATCTAAATTTCCAGGGGTTGAACTTTTACAGGGAGATTCACTTGTTGACTTAAAATATGCCGATAATATGGTAGAAGGCGCTGATGAAATGCAGTTTTCTGACTACCATAAGCAACAATGTATGAATGTTCGGGATGCGATTCTCTCCCTCAAAATGTTGCTTCAGGATTGTGTTGCATCAGCACCTACATTAATGATAGGGAATGAAGTAGTTGAGCCTCACTTATCTTGAGTCTCATTAGCCCCTGTAGTCTGGTGTGTGAAGAAATCTCAGCACGGATACAGAAGGCTTGACCACATTTCGCCAACTTGCGTCATTTTTGGAGTAGGCGAGATATCCGTCTAACAACCAAAGGACAAGTTTACTAAGCAGCAGTCCGTTCCGTCCTAATTTATGGCTGTAAAACATGGCCGGTAAGAGTAGAGGATATTCGTAGGTTACTAGTATTCGATCATAGGTGTCTTCGAAACATTGCTCGTATATCGTGGGACCATCGAGTAAGTAACACAGTTGCTAGGAAACGGGTACTAGGTAAGGATGACAAATCAATTGATGAAGTAGTGAAACTTCATCAGTTGAGATGGCTGGGACATGTGTTACGTATGCCCAACCACCGACTGCCTCGACGTGCTATGTTCAGTGGTATAGGAGTAGGTTGGAAGAAAGCTAGGGGCGGTCAGACCAAAACATGGCACAAATCCATGAAGTCACTGACAAGTGGACTGAGTCATATTGGTAGGTGCAGACTATCTGGTTGGGGACCGCGAGATGATAGCAACCGATGGTTAGAGACGTTGAATGACATGGCTCAAAATCGTTTGCAATGGCGCAGGTGCATCCAGTCTCTGTGTTCTCCCAAATTCTAATCTTCTGAATTCTTCATGTCCTTTTTTCTCTTTCCAAATTTATTTCACTGGATTATACTCCTTGAATAACATCTCCAAACCCTAATCTTCATGATTACTGCTTATACTCTTATTACCTCTACCACTACGGGATTTGAATCGACAACTGCATCTCTGTGCTTATGTGGTGTGGCAACTCGAACTGATGTACGTACGTACGAAGTTCTACGTTGTTGCTGACTTACTGTTTGAATCATGACCATGTATTAATTTACCCACACCACTTTTTAATGGACAGTACCTTACTAATATCGCACTGCTACATTTAGAATATATTATTGTAAATATGGTATATTGATAAGTTGCCTCATAGAATATTTGCAGTTAGTAACATTTGGTTCAAATCCAAAAAATTGTGTGTATTGACAAATTCGACTATCGTAATAGTGTAACCCTCAAAACTTACATAAAATATTCCCGCTAAAATGGACGATATAATATTACAGAGGATTACGTTTTGTACTGAAGGCTTAAGACAATTTGTGTAACTCGGTTACATGTCTGGTAAATAATTATCTTACTGGGGATTTATATTGTCAATATCGCCAAGACAACTTTACCGGAAGATAATGCAGTTAAGTAACGTATCCTCAGTTTATTTATTTATTTATTTTAACACATAGACATTGGTACAAGGAGGCACCAAATACATATGCGCCACACAAATCCCATTCGATATGTGTGAGGACTATGATACTGCCCGGGTGCCCAAACCGAAGCAGGCGGTTTTCTTAGGGGGCCACTCCCCGAGCCTTCGACCTGAAGGTCTGATCCACAAGGCAGTGGAGCATCGTAAGGAGATGCAGTCCCATGGAAGCCGGTGACCAACAATTGGTTCATACGCCATTTTTTCCTACAGGATACTGAAGCCCATGTGCACCATTGGTTTAGAATCCGGTTAAAGCGCCGGACATTCGCTTTTTGTCCTCTCATTTTCGTAAACAACGCCCCCGCCACGAGAAGGCAATGAGTAGGACTTCCCTGGCAGAGGCTATATACGCGTGGCCGTGTGAGAGCATTTCGAGAGGGAGAGCGGACTCACCCCACTCTCGGCCGTACCAGGGCATTTGGGTGAAGATTATTTGAGCTATAAAAAATGGGATTACAGTAATAATAACAAAACAATGCGTGTTAATAGCCGTTGGTTAATAACTTGACGTATAGGTAGTAAGTATTTTGTGTTTAGAAATATTAAAGTAATGAATATTGTAGAAATGTTGATATTGGTATTAGTTTTGGTTTAAATTATGAGACCACTTAACAATTATGCCGGTAACTCGTTCATATGTGATTTCTAATTGCATCTGTATTAGTAGGCTAACTGAAAGAACAAAAGTATTACCATGGGAAAGAATTCCAACTAGTGTTCCAGTTAGTTTGATACGGTTTATTTAGTTACGTGGAGATTTTCTCAACCTCGTTTTTACTTGACCGTGATAGAATTTATTAATACTACTAATACACATGAATGGTTACTAAAACAAAATTTCAATACATGAGTGATAATTATATGAGTTTTGGACAGATAGCTAAGAACAAATCGTTAAACATGAGTGTATTCGTAAGAGACATGTTCTAGACTCAATGTTCTGAGTTGCCATAGATTATTTATACATATTTATACCTGACGGCTGATGATGCATACAAGTTAGTTGCAAGTATGCAGTTTATCATAAGGCGGAATACGATTTAATTGAGATATAGTGGTTATAAGTTATTGAAATCAGTTAGGCCTATGTGTCATATTACTAGGTGATGTGGTGCTGCAGGATGTATTCGGCTAAATAAGCTTTTATAAGATGATTAACAGTGAGAGATGCTCATGTGATTATCAGGAAGAACACAAGTTGTAACCAAGGGGAGTACACTCCCAACTCACGTCTATGGTAATAGCTTGAACCTTAGTCAGTGTTGGGGTTAATTCGACATTGATGTTTTCAGTTTGCAGAAGATTTGCTCGACTGCTTATATTGATTATTTGCATACATTATTGTGTCGCTAAACCTCCAATTAGACTGACAAGGTTTTGAGATATTTACTGAATGAGCAACTGATAGAGAAACATACTGTAATCATCTGTAGTGAATGAAGATAAAAGAAAAACAACACTAGTGATAATTTTAAGTCGATTTGCTGACCGGTTATGTTAATAGTTTCATTAATTTTATCAATCATATTACGTGATTGTCAAGTCATGACAATGCTTTATGACGATATCCTGAAACTATCATGTTTAACTAGTTATAGTGTTGATTGAGGATTAGCCAGTGGAAAAATAGGTATTTTTGCTTTAGGTGATTCAAAATTATCAGAAATTTGTAATGTTACAGAATCCGAGACGCCTAATTATATTATAATTTTCAATTCAGAAATATTCGTTTAGTGATAATTTTAGTAGGCTACAGAGTTTTGATTTTAAACGTTTGTTTAGTCAACAGCTACCTGGGGATTTAGTTATTTGACTAGTGCCGTTGATAGTACCTAAATTTGTAATCTAATTATCTAAACTATGTCTGCATTTTAGGCTGCTACTATGATAAACCAATCAATAAACCCAAATACGATTAACAACAACGACTATGATGGGTTCACTGATAAATATTAAAGACGATTCAGATGATTTCTAAATTTAGAAGACATGAAGATATAGTGCAACGCGTGTATAGGTCAGGTTAACATGCAGGTTCTTGACGTATATGACAATTTAAAAATAATGAACATGACCAGGAAAAGTAATTTTAAAGTCAAGACTGCTTATGAAACTTCAGGCAGGAATGTAACGCGTTATAAACTTTCCATGGGAAATTCCTGCATTTAGCCTAAAGACACTTACAAATATATGGCACAAGCAACTGGAAAACATATACATGTTAAGTAAAAAAAAATTGTCCAGTAAAATAGTTAAACTCGCCTGGATTATTATTATGTATCCTCAGTACCCTTATTTTGTTTTTGGACTGGGTTGCAACTCAGAAATCTTGTAGGAATATATTCTATTCGTAAGCAAATGCTGCATTTTCACTTGGTTTCTTCAAAAATGTAATGTTTTTCATAGCAATTTTTCAAACTACTTGATCCACACAACTCGGTAAAGGCGTATGAAAATGCTTTTGAACAATACCCAGATCATGGAACGGATAATGGTACGTATCAAATTTTAATTCTCTGTATCCGGTTCTTATTTAAAAACCATTTTGCCTCACTAATCACGCACTAACATACGCCTGTTAACCCTAGTGGTACATAGGTCGCCGACTAACTCTGTCCTGGGCTCTCCTTCCCATTTGTTTCCAACTGCTATTCATTCTTTTGATGTCCACATTAAATTCCATCTTTTTCTTTTGTCTTCAGGATTCCAAGTTAGGGCTAGCCTCGTGATGCGGTTTGATGAATTCCTCATTGTATGTCATACCCACCTCCATCGTCTTTTCTTAATTCTCTCTTCACCTAGGAGTTAGTTTGTTCTCTACCACATTAGGTTTTTGCTGATCGTATCTGTCCAGTGGATGTGGAGTATCTTGCGTAGAAAACTGTTTATAAATACATGTACTTTTTTGAGGATTATTATTAATCATTATTATTAATGGCTTTATTCAATATTATATTTTGTAGTAGTTCTCCACGTTTAAGTTCAGTAGAATAAAACTGTCTTTACGTTCTGACTTTGATGTTGGTTGACAGTTGTTTCAAGTCCGAGATGTTCTTCAATTACAGGAGTGCTATCTTTGCTTTGCTAATTTGTGCTATTCCATATGCATCACGTCCTCCTTGTTAATTTATGATGCTACCCAGGTACATATAAGTTTCCATCAAGTGTGATTGGGTTGATGCTTGTTGTGTTATATAAAGGAATCTTGCTTAATTGCTTACGTATGTTGAGACCTACTGCTGTAGAGGCTGCTGCTACGCTGACTGTCTTTACCTGTGTTTGTTGGTGTGTATAGGATAGAAAAGCTAGGTCGTCTACGAAGTCCAGATCATCTGGTTGCATCCAAGCTGTCTATTTTATCCCGTGTCTCCCCTCAGATGTGGAGGTCTTTATAATGCAGTCAACCACAAGAAGAAAGAGAAAGGGGCATCCTTGTCTGACTGCAGTTCTCACTTAGAATGCATCTGTCAGCTGTCCTCCATGCACGACTTTGTAGTGTAGCCCGTCGTACGAATTCCCGATGATGTTGACGATTTTTTCAGATACTCCATAGTGTCGAAGAATTTTCCATAATGTTGTCCTATCCACACTGTCGAATGCTTTCTCATGATCAAGGAAGTTGGTGTATAGTGACGAGTTCCATTCAGTTGATTATTCAGCAGTGGTCCGTGATGTCGTGATTTGGTCTGTGCACAACCGATCCTTATGGAATACGGTCCGCTGATCTCTGGAAGTTGGGCGTCTACTGAATCCTTCATCTAGTTCAACGACACTGTTGAAAATTATTCCTGGTACCGATAGAGGTGTGATGCTTCTGTAGTTTTCACATTTACTCAGATCTCCTTTCTTTCCAGTCTGTTGGCAGTTGTTCTTCCTCCTAAATCTATCTGAACAAGGAGTTACCTCTATGTCTAACTTCAGTGCTTCAGCTGGTAAGTTGTCAGGTCCTGTTGCTTTCCCACTCTTGATTTATCTGGTGTCCATCCTGATTTCTTCGACCGTTGGTGGAGTGATATCTATTGGAAGGTCTTTGTGTGCTGCTTCGATACCTGGTGGATTCAATGGAGTTGGTCTGCTCAAGAGCTCCTCGAAGTATTCCACTCATCTGTTCCTCTGTTCTTGAATCCCAGTGATTGGCTTAACTTCTTTGTCCTTGACCGGTCTCTCTGGTTTAGTATATTTCTCCTGACAGTTCCCCCGTAGTTCTTCAATAATAAACACAATTATCCTTAATTGTGAATAGAGCCTTTAAGTTGGTTTTGGGATTCACTATGATTTATTTTTAAATCCCAGGACCGATAATTACTTGACGCAGAAATTAAAAACAGTCAGGTTTTTTTCTAGTTCATGTCTTCTCTTTTAACTTCTGTTTCGGTACTGTGGTCTATGAAACTATTCCAAGTGTCTTAGTGAGAATTAATTTTCTTAATTAAAGCAATGATCCGTTTAGTTTCGACTTTTATGGAATCGCGCTTCTGCTTGAAGTTCAACGTCATATAAATTTTCTAGAAGTCATTACAGTTTATCATAATTTACTAACTTACGTTGTCCTAAATTCCTATGCTATTGTTTGAGCAATCATGTTTCTAGTTTTTGCAGCTAAGTGTTTTTTTTCCTATAACTGATATCGACTTCAATAAAATTCACTCTCTTTTTTACATGAAGATCGAAATTCGGCCTTATCGATTTTGTTTCAAATGAAACGTTATGATCAAGCTCTAAAGGTAAATTTAGCATTGTCTTGATAAATTATATATATTTATGATCGAGCCTTATTCCTATTTCTAACTTATGAATTTTACATAGAGTCGATATGACTTTGAGATAGAATTTTGATATTTCGTAGTCAATGGTATTGTGTATCTGGCCTTCCACAACGTAGATTTACGTACTCACGTAAACTGAAGAAAATCTTGCTTATGTTGCTCAACCCTATAATCAAAGTTGTTAGCATGAAACAGCACCACTGCCCTTTAATATCAATTTATTTAGCGTTGAACTTCACCTAAGAAATTGGTTTGCTAAGATGACAGAACAAGTTAAATAATCAGGGTTCACATCGACACTGATCAAATGTTCTAGTTAGTAAACAAGTAGCTTATATTATCATTGTATATCTTTTGGGATTTTCGCTAAATTTCTTGACGAAAGAAGTTGAAGGCAAAAACAATTACAAGTTTTATTAAGTAAATATTTTCTGGAGCGTCTCATGAATATGCGGAACTGGTTAGTTGGTTCTAGAAAATCGTTCAGTAAATCATGGGTATACGTCCATATTAACGAATATGATGGAATTCTGTTAGATTATGTTAGATTTCTATAATTTGTTTTGATATGAATATGCTACAATTTTAGCACTACTTTGGTTTAAAAAGGCATATCATAGTAAAGCGTAAAATTCTTATTTAGTGTCAGTCAACTCTACAATTGTTTGGTTAGCTGATCTTCTTTAACCTTTAATGACCTATTCATTGAGTGTGACGGTTTTTTCTGTTCATTACTTCAATTTTGATTAGTTTTGTAATTTATTTTTATTGTCCCTATGTTGTTTTGTATACTCAAAATAATCTCGTGTTTGTGTTTATCAACGTGGTCACTTACTAGCAAATGTTCATTTTTAGATGAGACAGCTGTTTATACACCTGAGATGCCGCAACAAGCTACTGTTTGACAAACTCCCAATCAAAGGAGATGATGTTAGTGTTCAGAATTAACGTTGACTTAGGCTCAGAATTACACTGACCTGTTCAGTTGCTAACATAGTTATCACATACTTAACAAAATGGCTAGTCAGATAAACTAACATAGACCTTCGCTAATTACAACCAGTTATATCTACCTTTCCACCTGTACCTGCATCAGCACGTAGGTAGGGTATTATCTAGAATGGTACATCCCAAAGAATTTAACTTTTAATCGCTCCAAACTACCTAGTAGTACCATAGTAAGACATATTTTAAACACTGATTACTCAGTAAACCCTTATACTACTGTCTTCTAAGTGACAAACAAGCAAAATAATGGTAGACTATCACTCTACTAAATAACAACCACCATTTGACGTCTCTACTCCAATTTGTGTTTGAAAAAGTCTGTGGTTCACCTGACATTGATGGTGACCATTTGAATGATATCCTACCTTGTATTCAGTAGTTCTCGTCTTCAAAATATATAAAATTCAATTTTTTAGCCTGATCTTTATTCCTAATTTACTACCATTACAACTAGTCTTATTATTTCAACATTATTCAGTAGAATGTTTGACTTATTTTCTATTTAATCTGTTCTCTCCGTTATGGATTCTGGAGTTCAAAAACTCCGATAGTGAATTGATTGAAATTAGACGTACACGCCACTGAAAGATGGCTTGGTGGTCTGAAGATTACGGATTCGCCTAGGAGACTGGGGATGCTGGATTCGTTTCACTGTACCGAAATGGTAAATACACACTCATTAGGATTCTCATACTAGGTCGAAATGGATGTTCAGCGCCTCCTAATTGTTATAACTAGTGCCCTTGTGCCCTATCAATATATAAGGTAACGATACCGCCAGTTAGACAGAAGTGAATCATTGATCGGACCAGTGACGCATAAAACACGTACGAGCAGTCTAGAGTGCCTATTGGCCCTGCTTCGTGTCTAGCTCAGCCAGTTAAGTTCAGAACACCAATCTCAGCCTCTGCAATATAAATCACGTATTTCGAATATACTGGGTTTATATACAAACCAAACAGACCACATCACTTCATAAAATAGAAAGTAACATTTGTGCAAGATATAGCCAAAAGTGGCTGTGAATGTGGTAGGCAGTAATTAATAGACTGGACAGAACTCAGGAACGATAAATCGTATAACAATATTCTATGCGTCAAAATAAAGCTTTTAATAAGAGGAACATGAATATGCATAGTTTATCTACTTAATAATCATACCATAAAAGTATATGTATCGTATTGGTTCATAAATAATTCTCAAAAGTTACCATTCATAATTCCCGTCGGAATATAACACTCTCCTATTCTCTGCAGCTATTGTTGTCATTATTAGTGTTATTATCATCGCTATGGTGATTGCTTTAAAATCGTTTCTTGTTAATTACTGTCATTTTTATCATTCTGTCTATCGTAATCATAACAGTTTGCATATATTTCTTATACTCCATTACATTATATCCTCTCCGTCCCTTAATCCATTTCATCCATCCTACGTTGCTGGCTGTTGTTACTTTACAAAAGTTTACCAAGAGAACTAATTGCATAATATTGTAATGTGTTTTGTGAACTCGCATAGATAAACAAAAATCTTTTTTATCTTATTAACTTAGTTGTTTTTTCTGTAATCAGTTACATTGTGTTACCATATCTGTAAATACTTTAATAAACTTTTGAGTTCTTAAACGATAAATTGGAAAACATTTTTCATTGTTAAAAATTATAGTTTTTCACTTCCTTCTGTGGTGTCAAACTGTATTTGAATTCTGGGGATTTATTTGATATGGACAGACATTCATCGAAGCTGTCGTCTGTGGAGAAATTTAAAAGGTAAATTGACTCATCACTGGTTATTTCTTATCGTATATAATTTATCTATTTATTTGTTTTATTTAGATGTGAATTCCCTGATAATATGCCTGTTGAATTACAGTTGAAATTGTTTCTTATTTTTGCACATCTGGGACTTGGCCCATTAGTTGTGGTGAGTTGATACATTGTATTTCTCTAATATTCTTTGTTTTAATACAACTGCTAAAAAGTTTTGAATAGATTATGTACATTATAAAAACATCCACAAGCCATTGGAATGGCGTAAAAGTTAAACAAAAGTGATTCTTATTTGTGGTTTTTAAAGATTCACTAAGATGTCATAAACGTAATTTCTGTTATGACTAAATTCTATTTTAAAAATCCTTCGAACCATCATTTAGTGCTAAGTAGGTTAATCTTACTAAACTACAGATTATTTTAATTTAGAAAATACTGACAATTACAAGTGACATCTCGATATTTAGCACTACTTGTGCAACATGACAGGTGTACCCATGAACGTCATGTAATGAAATGTTAACATCAATTACTGGTACAGTAAAATGATTGCTTACTTTTTAACACAATGTCTTTTAGTATGCTATTTGGTAACTCTTCCCAAGGACGGTTTTGTACTGTATATATACGTTTTGAATTGTATTTGTTGTTATCGCTCGTTTCTGGCTGTTTGCAGAATATAATTCCCCATTCCGAGCATCGACTTTTCCCTCTAATTAGCTGGGCTGGGACACATCAATAGCTAGCTTACTGGTCTTTGGTCACCAAATCTTGTTTCTCGTTCACAGATTAAGTGAACTCGTGATAGATTCAACCCTAGCAAATTTGGCGACGGGAATGCGATTCGAACCCACTCCAGGAAACCCCAATGGATTAGCACCACAAGTTTGAAATCACCTTCGTATATTGAGATTTACTGTCCCGAAATGTATCACCAGCATCCATAGAGGTTTGACTCAAAACTGGGTACATAAACCTGTACGGGATTATTGAGCGACATTATTTAATTAATTATATTATTGGCTTGTCAGGACCATTTATTTTCATCTTTCTTTGGATGCAGTTTTGTTCTCTGAGCTGGATGGGACACCAATGAAATCACCAAATATCAGGACTGATCGCAGGGGCAGTGATGAAAAGACTAGAAGCCGCGATATTACCAGTGATCAAACCGAAAATTTGGATTCGCTATGTAGACGAGACATTCGTCATCGTCAAAAAGAATGAACTGGAAAACACTTACAAGCTGATCAACAACGTCTTCGATGACATCAAGTTCACAATGGAACAGGAGTCAAACAACAAACTATCATTCTTGGATATATTAATCACTAGAATCGACACAGGAAAGCTGAAAACTCAAGTGTATAAGAAACCGACCCATACAGATCAAATTCTCAACTACAATAGCAACAACCTAAGAGCTCACAAAATCAACTGCGTACACACTTTGTTCAAAAGGGCGAGGACACACCACAGCACGCTGGCAGCACGAAAAAATGAAGAGAAGTACCTCAAGGACGTATTTCCAAAGAACGGCTACCCAATCAACTTTATCAAAAAATACCAACCGCACGCAGCATCAGAACCTAACTCAAGCACAGAAATCAACAAAAGGATCTCCCTGCCATACACAAAAGGCATATCAGAAACCGCAACGAGACTGCGGAAAACCTTCGGCATAGGTGTGGCACACAAACCGACAAAATCACTACAATCAATCCTATGCAAACCAAAGGATGAAATAACAAAGGGAGACAAATCAAACATCATCTACAAAATAAATTGTGCCAACTGCGAAAAACACTACATCGGACAAAGCGGACGCCCCCTTCACCTTCACCTGCATGAACATCAATTAGCAGTCAAACGCTATGGTACTTCCTCACTTATATCAATACACGTGGACAACTGCGGACACTCATTCGATTGGAAAAATGTGGAAATCTTGGACAGAGGGAATTCCAAAAACACCAGAGAATTTTTAGAAGCCTGGCACTCGGGTCAATCAGCAATCAACAAGCACATTGAAATCGATCCAATTTATCAACCAATTAGAAAAATTATGCACAAATCTAGGACCAAAAATCAAACCAATGGGAAACACAACCAAAACAAGGAAGTAAACAATGACAAATCTAAGCTCAATAAGAACCAATCAACGTCGAGGTGTACAGAACAAGTTGTGAAACGCATATGAAGAAATCCGAACACTTCACTTCTATCTGAAGTTTGTGCTGATGGTGCCGTTCAGAGGAACGATGAAAGCTCCACGACCAAACCATCCAGCTCAGAGAACAAAACTCCATGAAAATCATCCACGTGAGCTACAGATCTTCTCCATATTCTCTTTTTCATCTTTGTTCCACCCCAGCTTTAAATTCGCTTTTTATTTATTTAATATAGTCCCGTGTTGAATCAACGTACACAAGTGAAAATATTGCAAAATATTCTAATTGGCTTTTGGATATCGTTGTCGCTTACAAAGAGAAAAATTTATACTCCATATCGATTCAGCTTATCCTGAAACTCAAAAAATCAAATGTTACCTGTAAGGTATTTGTATCGTTTCCACCTTCGTTAATTCGACATCGCGATTACTGTAACTAGTGTACCATATCCGGTTTTATGATTTTTGGAGTTGATTTTGTTAGGATAAAATCAACTGTATATCGGTGGTTTTTTAGATTTACTCTTTGTAGGGCATCTCTATGTATCTGTTTTTTTTAAGCTGTGTTCAAATAGTAACATTCTTATAATAATGAGGTAGATTCAGATATTATTTGCTTTAATCGGAACCAATCGTATTCCTAAATATGTATGGTTTTTAGCGTTTTTTCATTTCATTTTTCTTGAGCAATGATGAAACTCGAGTGATAAATCAATTTACTAGACTCGTCTACGATGAGTTCACTTCACATAAGTTAAATACAAAATCACGTAACTAGAACGGGTAATTTACCCTTTCCTCACATGAAAAATGGTTTCAAAAATTTTAATGAACAAATATACATTTTGTTCAGTAGTCTAGTTTTTGAGGATGCAGTTTATTCATGTAATCTAAACAATTTTTCTTAATCTTCCTACACCAGTTTTCAAATTCGTTAAATCAAAACTAATAAGCATGACATGTACTTAGGCTCCTGTAAATGTAGGCTGCATTGTGTTACTAATGTTGAATCAGAGTAATCTACTCCTCTAATAGCATATAATAAATATAGTATAGGTTTGATGAGTCATTAATCAGACAACAGAATCTAAAGTAACTTTCACTTAATTTGTTTGCAGAAAATATAAGTGTGTATTTTTAGCATGAAGTTTTAACTTTTCCATCTATTGTCTACCATGAGTTTTCCCTAGTTATATCCGATTACAATTCTAGTTAAAAATTCGTAAAGCTTTGTTAATTTCAGATTTGTCATCATAATATTTATGTTTATTGTTATAAATTTAAACATCCTTTTGTTAAATGTACATCTTTTGTAAAAATTGTACTGTGGCGATTGATGTACAAGAATTAAAGACAATGCGTGAAAAAAATGTCGTGTTATGAACAAATCAGCAGTCTGAAGATATAGATCTGTTAGGTTCGTTGGGAGTTAAGTCATTAGATGGGCTAAAATGGGGTTGTTAACCGTTTTAACTACACCTTTGCATAACCAAACTGGGAGGTGCTCACGAGCTCGAATATACAAATTCCTAGAACATCCGCCATTATGACTTGCTCCACAAGAGCAGTTGAATTGATAGATACAAAAAAGGTGGCTAGTCTAGGCAGTTTATCTTCCGAATTCGGAGTGATCATTTGACGTGTGGAAAACGGTAATTGTAGTTCTCTAGCCATATATCAATCTGTTTCTTAGATCTCCAGTTTATTTCGGTAATTTTAGGGAATTTACTATTCCATACTTTGGTTTTAATTTTATTTATTTCTATCAGTTGGTACAAGTTTGGACATTACTGGCTGAATGTTATTTAGAAGCAGGTGAAACAGAAAGTGCCATCAAAGCCTATCGCCATGTCATAGAAAATCTTGATCCTCGGCATACCGGCGCACGTCTGGGTCTTGTAAATCTTCTTAGACGCCTTGGTAGGAATCAGGAGGCTTTAAAAGTAAGTTTCGAGAAATATTTATTCATACGATTCATAAATTGCGTAAATGGATGTTTTCAATTTTATATTAAATGGTTATTAACTTAATTACGCCTGTTACCCCTAGTGGTACATAGGTCGCCGACTAACTCTGTCCTGGGCTCTCCTTCCCATTTGTTTCCAACTGCTATTCATTCTTTTGATGTCCACATTAAATTCCATCTTTTTCTTTTGTCTTCAGGATTCCAAGTTAGGGCTAGCCTCGTGATGCGGTTTGATGAATTCCTCATTGTATGTCATACCCACCTCCATCGTCTTTTCTTAATTCTCTCTTCACCTAGGAGTTAGTTTGTTCTCTACCACATTAGGTTTTTGCTGATCGTATCTGTCCAGTGGATGTGGAGTATCTTGCGTAGAAAACTGTTTATAAATACATGTACTTTTTTGAGGATTATTATTAATCATTATTATTAATGGCTTTATTCAATATTATATTTTGTAGTAGTTCTCCACGTTTAAGTTCAGTAGAATAAAACTGTCTTTACGTTCTGACTTTGATGTTGGTTGACAGTTGTTTCAAGTCCGAGATGTTCTTCAATTACAGGAGTGCTATCTTTGCTTTGCCAATTTGTGCCCTTCTGTTGAGTCGGCTTTCGGAGAACGTCAACGGAGTCTCCAGAGGCCCAAAAAGAGTTGAAGAGTCCTTGCCAATCAGAGCACGATGGAGCATTCTAGAATTCCAACGTGGCGTGCTACTATTGGTCAGTAGCATAATATGTCGCTAACGGATTGGCCGAAATATGATGTTGATTTAACAAACGCTAACATCTATAAGTACTCATGATTTTCTGTACAAGAACGAACCTTGGAGTAAAGTATTTTTTCTCATACTTTGCGTCTTCTTTCTGGTGTTCAAGTCGCTGTGTAGTTCTAGCTTGCGGGTTATCCAAATAGCTTAGGAATCGAATATAGCGTTCAATCGACAAGACTTATCACTTTCTATATGCATTAGATCCTCCTTGTTAATCCTCGAAGTGTTCCACTCATCTGGTCCTCTATTCTTGAATCCCAGTGATTGGCTTGACTTCTTTGTCCTTGACCGCTCTCTGTGCTTTAGTATATTTCCCCTAACAGTTTCCCCATATTTCTTCTAAGTGTCCTACCCATCTGTTCCGCTGTTCTTGGAACTCAGTGATTGGCTTACATTCTTTGTTCTGGATTAGTTACTGTGGTCCACCACATTTCCCTGCTAGTTTCTTCGTTGTCCCATATTTCCTTATCTTGGATCTTTTTCCGCCGTTCTTGCTAAGTTTTCCATGTATCAAGCCTGTCACCTCTAATTCTGCTCTTCACTTTCCTGTTTGCTTGTGTCTATTCGGTCTGTGCCATGGCCTTCTCTGCTCTTGTTCAACTGTTGTTAGCTGCTGTTTTCTTGTCTTGGGTCTCGATAGGGGTCCATTCTTAATGATGGTGATTCTTGCGGGTCAGCAACTCCTGTCAGATTGAAGTTAGTGTTAGTGTCTCCCATGTTGTTGAAAGCACATAGATCTCTTAGTCTTTCACTATTCTTGTTCCTTTCTCTCATTCCATGTCGTCCTATGATATGTTCATACTCGGTGTTGTTCATATTGACCCTGACATTGAGGTCCTCCATCAGTACAGTCATGTCTTTTCCTGGCAACCTCCCACAACAGTGATCTTTATCGTCTTCTTCACTTTCATTGGTGATAACATTCCTTGTGATCCCCTCCTTTGTTTTGTAGAATGATTTGATGATTCTAGATCCATGAAATTCCCACCATGTAAGCGCTTTCGGTGTTTCATCGGATATCATCAGTGCAACTCTTCATGATCAGAGTACAACAATACCTCTCCCGAAGTTAATGGGTTTCACTCATTCCGAGCAGAGACAGACTTGATTTCCTCATTTCTTCAGCTATTTGACTGATCTTCATGGACTCCCACATTGTTTTGGCATTTCATGTGTTATGTTTAAGCCCCTTCAATTACCATGTGACATGGTCGATAATCAGAACGCTGACTTGTACGACCTTGGCTCTGTGCCAGCTCAATGACGCGTTAATCATTTTCAGCAACCTTGAGTTTATTCTTAGTTATTATTGGTTCTTCTCGCTTACACCTGCCCGTTTGACTCGAGAACACAATCTAAGCTTCCACTGTCTGAATCATATATTTCAGACATACCTAGTTTATATACAAGGAAATCAGATATCATCATACCATAAAATAGTAAATAGCAATTATAGAAGATCAATCTTAAAGTAGATGTTAGCGTGAAAGACTAGTAATAGTCGCCAATGGGTCAAACGAAAGCCTATATATATATATATATATATATATATATATATATATATATATATATATATATATATAACAGTCCATAATTAGTTCTAAAAGTTACTTATAATTTAGTCTTCGTCCACAAGATCATGTACCTAACGTAATTGTTGCTCTAGTTGTTAGAAGGGGCATCGGCCTTGTGATATCCAAAGGATCTCAGCTTTTACCATAAGGCGTCATGATTCTTCTAAATGAAGATCGTTCCAACTACCAGGTCACAGTTTAAATGATTCTCTTGGTTAAGGTTTTTAGCAAGGTTGTTTTCTACCCTCCTCCTTTATCCAGACCTTGGAGCGATATTTACTCGCAAGGGGTTTGGAACTTTATTGAGTTATATTTTTACTTCTTCGTAAATGCATTTATTTTTTTGTTTTTGAAATGTGCATATGTTAGTTTTTCACTTACGTTGTCTGTATCGAATCTCTGAATCTTTAAGAAATGGGATTTTTGGTAATGATATGTTTATGTTTATTATTTCTAGTTATAATATCAATTTTATCTTTTTTGTTTCTCTGGAATTTTAGTTCTTAAATCCCTCAAATTTAGTTCAGAAAGGTGTTAAACCCGAAATATCTTTGACCGAACAGTGTGATTTAATTGTACAGAAAAGAGAAAAATCTCCATTGAAATCCAGTCACAGATCAACTGTTAGATCATTTGCTTCTTCTGACTTACGAAAAACTTCAGTTGTTGGTGACATCGATAGTGATGAATGTTCTGTTGAGAAAGTTTGTCTAGATAGCGACTGGCTCGATGCATCTGCTAACCTTGTCTCCCGTGATCATGTGGCATACAGATTAGCCTACGAACGTTGTCGAATGCTTGATACACCAGAAAGTGTAGATTCATTTTTAGAAGAAGCTTGGGCTTTGCTGTTTAGTGATGTGACACGTGTTTGCGGACCTAGATTTACTCAACGTAAGTAAATTTTTTATTGAATCAATAGCCTATTTCCCATATTTTTACTTGTAAATGTCATTTGTTAAAATCAGATGTATTACAAAATTTAACAGATTTCTCTTTTCACTTTTATTATTGATCCAGCTTTAAAAATATCCTGTTTTCTCTATGTTATATATCGCGATGAGATTGAAATGTACACAGTTTGTCATAATATTATAAGTAATTATCTTCTTATGTTTTATTATTCAAGAAATAATGAGGACGGAATTAATAAATACGACAAATTGAAGTGCAGGCTATGGGTAGTTGTAAACATTTTTACTGAATATAGTTTCGTACCCTTCATTAATGTAAACAAATTTGCACACTGTAACCGAAGGACTAATTACCTGTTCAAGTGAATTCAAATCCACAACTGAATGATTTAACCTTGATAGTCTACTGAATATTAAAGTAAAATAGGAGGATTTATACTGTTTCGAATAATACGCTCACATATATTACTTATATAGTTTTGTTGAGAACCGGAAAATGTTCCTCTGTAGAGTCTCTATATGCTCGAAAAATTTGAAAACGTTTCATCTAATCGGCACTAAATAGAAGCTTCTCAGAAATGCTTGGAAAAATAAAAGATTATGTGTCAAATTTTGATTGATCAACTACTCCTGTTACTATATCAACATTGTCTCGAAGACTATAAATGAAAACAATTTGATGTACTTATACGTCCCTTTTTCTGTTGCTTGAGTTAGTGGGTAGAATTAGTCTGCAAATATGGTAAGGGTCTAAGAATCCAGCTACAACCGTTCTAGTAAGATTTATCAAATTTAAAGTCAAATAAATCTTTCAGTCTGACTGTATTTACTTTGTACATAAGCAAATGCGTAATATTTATCAAAGTGTTTAACTTTCATCTTTTGGACAATAGTAATTAGTTATAGTTTGAATTAGAATTTGCTGCTACAATTATTCACATTGAGAAGTAAAATGATCTAAATTATAGTATTATGCTATCTACTGTAGACTTGTTATTCGTTTCTCTATGCTCCTGGAATTAGAGTATTTCTTTCTAGTACACTTAAACTTTGTCTTTGATGTTCTGTAGCATGATTACATTGGAAACAGTTGACTGAACAGTTCATTTTATTTTGTTTCATTTCATTTAGATTAGATTCTTAATTAATATCGTTATACTGCGCTGTGTAAGGTTTGCTTATGAGATGTCGGTACTTTTTGTTACCTAGATATTTCGTGTTGTACTTATTCCACCATTACCTTGTCCAAGAGTTTTATCTACAAATTAAGATATATTCTGTGTATAAATAACAACAAAAAACAACCACTTATTTTGATTTTTTTCATTTGTCTGTGCAACAACACTGTCTTAGTAACTAATAAGTAAACCGTTTTATCTATTTTCATCAAAACATTCACACTGTTTATGGACTACAGAGAGAATAATTGCTCTCAGATCATTTAAAATTGAGTTTATGTAAATCTATATGAAATCTAATAAGGATAATGTTAGTGGTGAATAATTTTTCTTGTTTATCTTTCGTTACCTTCTTTCTAAAGTTGCCTTAACTCTTGATAGTGAACAGCATCGAAAATTAGTGATTGATCGACTAGCTTCTGTTGCTCCAGCATTGACTGATACATTATCTAACCAGATAGACGCTGAACGTTCAACTACAGAAACAAATGGTGTAAGCAGCTCAGATATTTGGGGATTGTTTTTGCGTGTTGTGGATGTGTTACGTGCTCGTTTGCCAAAATCATTGCCCCAATTGGAAACAGCTACTGCATGGGCTTCTTTATTACCTCATGTTCAAGGCAATGATCTACGTCGGTTAGCTGCAAGTCATCTCTTAATTAGTTCTTCACTTATTGCACGTCATGGCACGCCAGCATTTTTGGAATTACGAAAAATTCAAAAGCAGGTCAGTTATAATATATATGTAATCGTCTAAAACGTATGTTTTTGCAGTATTTCCCTGTTTAGAACATATTCATTAGCGATGGTAGGAAGTATTTCCAGTGAGGATAATCTTCATCAAACATAAGGAATGTACAGTTTAGGAAATCAATAATCAAACTATCTGAAATAATGTAAATTAATACTTCGGAAAATCATAACCAGCGATCTAAACGTTACTGACCTGTTGCTCTACCGTTTGATCTACCAGACTAAATCGCTAATCATTTCCAAGCTGTTGTTATTACCAGCAGCCATTAAGTACAACATTTTATAGCTAAAATTACATCTAAATGTCATTAGAGACCAGCTGATAATCTTTATGCTCTCGTTTACAACGCTTCTACAATTCAGGCTTTTCGAAATTCAGTCATCATCTTTAAGGGGGTAATGTGTTATAATTTCAATGCCGTATGGAAAAGCAATTATCTTTTAAGCCTTGTCAGCTATTATTTATTTGTTTAAACACATAAACATTGGAACAAGTGGAAACCAAGATATATGTGCGTCCCGCAATAAAGATGAGGTTGCAAAGAGATGGAGAAAGGAAGGTGAGTATAATAAAAAAGAACAAAAATGAATAGAAGCTACTGTATGGTGGTGAAGTAATAATAATGATATTAATGGTTGAAGCAGTTCAGTCAGGAAAGATACAACCAAAAAGGATTCTTTCAGTTAGAAAGATTACTTTCACTTCCATAAAGAAAGTAGAAAATGTTACACCAGGATCGCCACTGGCTTGTATCCTGAGCCGTTTCTGTTAGTGTCTCAGGCCATTGTGTTGCACCATCTATAGGACCCCAAACACAGAAAGTCGTCTAATATTCTCAGCTCGGAGAGGCCAAGTTTCACAAGCATAGAGCAAAATTGCTCTCACTGACCTTTTACATCCGGACTAGCATCACTAATGCGCTAAAGATGGCCCAGATTGGCATAGGCCTTTTTGGCTTTCACTATACGCCCGCACCAGCACTTAGATACACTCAACTGTCTTTGTCTGCTTGCTATCCAGGGCACCTTCAGGATCAGGATCTTAACAGTCTTGTCGAAGTACTTTTCACTTGGAAGGTGCGAAGAACATACCATACCTATTGGCAATGATTGACAACTGACTATGTACGGATTGGTTTGGGGATCACCACACAGTAAGACAATATCATCCTCATACTCAGGGTCGAGAATTGTATCTCCATGCAACAGATCCACACCACCATTACCTACATCCATCAGAGCTGTTTCCAGAATGTCATCAGTGGCGAAGTTGAAGAGGGATGGTAAGATTGAGCAACCCTGTATAACCCCATTGCTTGAACGAAACAATAAAGACAGGTGTTTGTGTATAGAACTTTCAAGAATTTAATAAACGTCTCAAACAAACGCTTCTCCCATAGACTCCCAGAGAACAGTCCTATCCAACGAATCGAAGTAGAATATAAATTAAATGTTTTTGGTGAAAAGCTGTAATCATTCTGTTGATTTGAAAACTTTACATATTAAAAGAGATTTGAACTGTAGTTAACTGTAATAAATGACTCTTTTTTTCTAGAGAACTTTTATTGGTTATAATAATCAATGATAACACAGAGTGAAGCAAACCACTATCAAAATATCAACATGTTAGCTGGTATCAGCAGATCTGGGATGCAGGTATATCCAGTTGTCGAGTCCCGGTTATGACTAAGATATGTCCTGGGCTTCATTGCTACCCATCATCCATCTCTGCTTAAAATAACTTGATACATGTATTTTTCAAACTGATAATGAACCAAACGTAGTTCATTCACTCACACGAATGTTTTATTCACAGTATGTTACTGTGTAACTGTTATAACTTGTGTCCTGAGTGCCTTGCTAATGTATAACGTAACGATATCGCCAATTAGAGAGCAGTGAATTATCGGTCACACCAGGGACGCATGAAACACGTACGAGCAGTCTAGAGTGCCTATTGGCCCTACTTCATGCCTAGCCCAGCCAGTTAAGTCCAGAACACCAATCTCAGCCTCTGCAATATGAATCATCTATTTCAAGCATACCGGGTTTACATACCAACTAGACAGACCACATCGTACCATAAAATAGGAAGCAACATTTGTACAAGATTTGGCTAAATGTGGCTGTGAACGTGGGAGGTAGTGATTAATAGACAGGGTATAATTCAAGAACGGTAAATCGTATAACAATAGCTCATAGGTCAAAATAAACCTCATAATACGAAGGACATGAATATGTATAGTTTAGTTATTCAACAATTATACGATTAAAATGTACGTATAGTATACATAAATGGATCACAAAAGTTACCATTCATTATGTTTATCGGGACATAACAGTAACAGAAGTATACTTATTTCCTTTTAACTATTCTACAAAGACTCCCAACATTTTAGGCTTACAGTATACTAGGTTTGAAGCTATTACGAGTTCACTTAGTATGCGAACGAAACAAAGACTTGTGACCGTAGACCAATAAGCTAGTTATTTGATGCGTCCCAGCCCCACTAAATAGAGGAAGAAGTCCAAGCTTGGAACGGGAAAGTATATTCCGTAAGCCAGAAGCACGAGTGAATAGTAACAGCGTAGCATACTAAAAATACACAACAGACCAATAGCGTTAAAGATTCTCTCAAGTGGGAATTACGACATGAAGGTGAAAAGAGCGCTTTTGACGCGAAAACAAGGAAATTTAAATTTCCAAAATAAAATTACAAAATTAAGGCATTTACAAATGAGTTCTGGGGATCTAACGTCCCCAAAACAGTACCATTGATATGTAACGAAGGCTATAATTTACGACTTTTCTATTACTAGGGATAAATAACTATTTAACGCACACATGTTGAAATAATTATGATTCAGTAACTTATTATGATTATAATTTTGGCGAACTTCATTTGTTTGCATGTTTGTATTTATTTATTTTATCGTCAAACTTTAAATGAATTCTGAAACCAGTGATATTTTTTCACGAGTTTTACATAAATTTAATTCTTTTCCAGTGGAGTGAATATAACCAGTATTGGAATGTGATGAATCTGGCAATCACTCTTTCACGTGATTTTAAACATTGTAGATTTTTGGATCGTTTAGTTACTAAAGTAGGTTTTTTGTAAATGAATCTAGTGTTCAACTGACTTGTTACGCATTAACCATACTGGACCCGCACAATAAATAATATCTTGATTGCTTATCATTTTATCGAAATGCAATTAACGGAATAATTTATTATATATATTTTATTAGAAATACAAACAAATCTTAGTGTTATGTCTCAATATTAATTATATGAAATTGTAGACTGGAAAGTTCATTATCAAAATTTACTGACGGTTTCACAGTTTCGTTATATTTTAGATCAGCGTTGGTTTGTATCTCTAAGGCTCACAAGCGTATTCACATTAAAGTAGGCTTATCTCACAGGACTTACTACTAAATGTCGACAAGATTTCAACGTTATTTTCTTTGCATTTTAATATTCTTTTATCTATTTTATGACTGTATCCCAACACTGGTTCGTATAATTTGATCAAGAGTAAGTACTAGATGATTACACCATAAACTGAATAATATACATGTGTGAGTCAAGGTACACTACTACCACTAATATTACTCTCGTTATCGTTTTGTGTTAGGTAAGCGATTACCGTTGAGCCTATCATAAATAGCGTACCAATTCTCTTGAGTGCGGTTTGAATTTTTTCCGTCATACATATTTATTGTGCTATGCTTTTCAGGATAGTTTGAATTTGGCTATCGGTACTATTGCTAGTAGTGACACTTTGGTTCGAGGTTCATATCGTTATGCTATTGGCAAGTCTTCTTATTCTACTTATTTCCATTACATGGTCGACTTTCATTGTTGCTGTGATTGTTATTTTTTGCTTTGTTTGTTGATTTTCTGGCGTTATTTCTTTACTGATTATCTTCACTAAAGAATCGATGGTCATTAATCTTCTCTTGATTCAACAACAGATAGTTTTATCAGTATAGGGTTGTGGAGATTGTTGTGCTTTGATTGAGATCATCGCACGAGACCGAAAGTTCTGGGTTCGAATCCCGCGTGTAGTATCGTGTATGACTACTGCTCTGGAGTCCCATACTAGGACGAAACGGCCGTTCAGTGCTTCCAGGTTTTTAGTGGTAGTCTAACATTGATCGGCTCGTGATCTTAATTAGAACGAATAGTCTGTTTAAGTAAATTATCTTTGGCTCGTTTTTTGTAGTCGAAAATCAGAAAAATGAATGGGTGTAAGTTATCTGTGTGAAGCATTATAATGCGAAATATCGTACCATTATTCGTGACTTATTGATTTAGTATGTTATTGTAGATGCATTTAGATACAAAATTGAGAAAGGTTACCCAGCGCTTCATCGTTTTGGACTTAATTCTGTGACTTTAATAATTCAGTCATAATTAACGTAGAACCTGACACAAATGTGCATTAGTTCAAGTTGCCGCATCACATCTATATAGCGAGATGAAATTTGCAAGTTTAGTTCTAAACGAGTCAAAATAATAGTTAATTCAATTACATCCCGATTACTCAATGATTCTTAATCACTAAGTTTATCAAACAGAGTTTTTGTCACTGTACAAAATCACAGTGAACTTCTGAACACAACTAAGATAAACCAAGTAACTTCATACTGAATACTTCGATACAAGCGAGAACATATTCTTAATCAGTGAATAAATTTTATTATAAACCAATATATAAATTTTAAAATTGATGTCTTTCCAGATGTAGTATTCATCATCCTTAACGGATATTCAAACTCTAGTTCCATCGAAATATCTGCAGCCATTGATCACAATTATTGCTTGTAACCCGACCAGTTAGTCTAAACCTCACACAGCTCAGACCAACAGTCAGTGACTATATGAACTAATACTGTTTCTTAGTTTAGCTGCTTTCACACATCACATCATTCTTGGTCGAGGTTGGAGGTGCTTAAACTAGTACATATTCAAGTCGATTCATCTGATGAAGATTCACAGCTTTAATAAAAGAACAACGTATTATTTATTGTCGTAACTACTTCTACTTACTTCGATTCCATTATTCGATCTATGTCTCTCTGGCTAGATGTGCTAGTTTGAAAGGATTATTTGTAATAATCAGATATATTGTGACCAAGTCATCATCGATGACAATAATCTCATAAGCTGTTTTTTTTTCTTGATGTCTAACATTCATCACATAAATATTCTGTAATGTTGGGGTGTATATCGAAGTAATCCGTTTTCATTTTTTTAAAAATAGTACTCAAATCAGTAATTGTGTAAAGCTTTATTCGCTGTTTACAAACCACACATAACTTATTTGCTAATCACGCTGCTTAGATGCAATGGAATCCGAATTCATGAACTATTTAGTTTTGGTGGATTTTGAATCTCTGCTACAGAATTACGCAGGCAGTTTTCGCTTCATAATTGGTCTTCTCTTTTGATGATACATTACTTACTGTTAATCATACGTTAACTTTGTATTGACTGATATGTGTTATGACCATCGAATCTCATTTCATACTGTGCTATTTTCCTAATTTTTAACTGAAAGCCCGACTAATCAATATGAGAGAAAAATTTCCGGACGATGCACTTCTTACTTTATTACTCGCTGTTGGCTTTCTAAGTATGTCCATGCAAAAACACATTGGTTCACGTCATCTTGCTGTTTTACAGGTAAGTTTCTTTTCTACTCTTAAAAACATAATACATTACGTGATCGGTTGCCGTGTTAATGTAATCTAAAGAAAAATTGAGGATTACATCAGTACTCTTTTCGAAAATTATTTCACTTACATATCCAGTTACAATGGAATAACGCTAGTAGTGAGTAAAATAGTTTTGTTATCTGGATGTAACTTTTTTCGAGAGCAGTTTGCGTAAACGGCTTCTGATAGCCATAATAATTCAGTTGTGATCATGAAGGTCTTCCCTATAGAGGAAATTAAGATTTATATGAAGTGATATTTTACGTCATGCGTCAGTGACATAAAAAACGTTCTCTCGCTCACTCAGACGTCCTATGGAGTTACAACGGTATTTGACTTCCCTTTTTGAATGTCTTTAAACTTATCATCTTGTAGTAACGACCCCTAATATAAATAGTTTGATATTTTTCTAAATATTCCATTTTTGTCATATCATTATACCTTATTTATTTATTTATTTAAGGCTGTTGGTTTTCTTGGGGAATATAAACGTTTACGTGGTGATTGTCAGGAGGTTTATTACAATATAGCACGTGCTTGTCATCAACTTTGTAAGTTTACTGGCATTCTATTTTCAAAAATCCTGACTTGAATACATATCTTCATCAAACAATAGTATCATTCCCCGTGGTGATGTCCTTCGTTTTCTCAGTCAACTGTCTGATGGATTATAGAATGCTCTTTTGTAGCTTTTTTTATTAGGAGGAATTGAGGCTTTTGCTCATTGGTTGTAATGTCCTTTACTTGGACACATAAACGTTTTAAAAGTAAATTAGTGATCTTTTTTCATTCGGCTACATGAATACCATTTTCACCCTTTATCAGTTGTCTCATTATTTTTGTGATAGTTTCACCATAATTAACCAAAAAATTAAGCATTTTATTGATGTATGCTTTCACCATAAAATCACATTTTAAGTTATATCTCCTATTGTTTATTTTTATTTCACATGGTTGTTGGTATTCTTGCAGCCATTTATAATTTCTCAATTCGAAATTCCTTAATCCCCTATACAGCTATAGAGTATAGTTCTATTGTTAGGTCACATACAAATTAGAATCTTTGATTTTATGACTGGGTACTATATGAGTAGGACAACGGTTCATAGTCCTAACAATTTTATTCACCCAATAGTAAAAATTACTTACTTACTTACTTACGCCTGTTACTCCCAATGGAGCATAGGCCGCTGACCAGCATTCTCCAACCCACTCTGTCCTGGGCCTTCTTTTCTAGTTCCATCCAATCCTTGTTCATTTTTCTCATGTCTATCTCCAGTTCTCGGCGTAATGTGTTCTTTGGTCTTCCTCTTTTCCGTTGACCTTCAGGATTCCATGTGAGGGCTTGTCTTGTGACGCAGTTCGGTGCTTTCCTCAATGTGTATCCTATCCACTTCCAGCGCTTCTTCCTGATTTCTTCCTCCACTGGGATCTGGTTTGTTCTCTCCCACAGTACGTTGTTGCTAATAGTGTCCGGCCAATGGATCTGAAGTATTTTGCGTAGACAATTGTTAATAAACACCTGTATTTTCTGGATGATGGCTTTTGTAGTTCTCCAGGTTTCTGCCCCATACAGTAGAACTGTCTTGACATTTGTATTGAAAATCCTGACCTTGGTGTTGGTTGACAGTTGCTTTGAGCTCCAGATGTTCTTCAGTTGTAAATATGCTGCTCTTGCTTTGCCGATCCGCGCCTTCACATCTGCATCAGATCCACCCTGTTCATCAATGATGCTGCCCAAATATGTAAAGGTTTTTACATCTTCCAAATCTTCTCTGTCAATTGTCATTGGATTGGTGCATGCTGTGTTGTATCGGAGAGTCCTGCTTTTCCCTTTGTGTATGTTGAGACCTACTGCTGCTGAGGCTGCTGCCACGCTGTTTGTCTTCTCCTGCATCTGTTGTTGCGTGTGGGATAGAAGGGCCAGATCGTCTGCGAAGTCTAGATCATCCAACTGCATCTTAGATGTCCATTGTATCCCGCGCTTTCCTTCAGACGTTGACGTCTTCATGATCCAGTCGATCACCAGGAGAAAGAGAAACGGTGAGAGTAAGCAACCTTGCCTAACACCGGTCTTCACTTCGAACGACTTTGTCAACTGTCCTCCATGCACAATTTTGCAGTGTAATCCATCATATGAGTTCTGTATGATATTGACTATCTTCTGAGGCACGCCGTAGTGTCGAAGAAGTTTCCATAGTGTTGTTCTGTCCACGCTGTCAAATGCCTTTTCGTAGTCAATGAAGTTGATGTAGAGTGATGAATTCCATTCAATTGATTGTTCCACAATGATCCGTAGAGTCGCGATTTGGTCTGTACACGATCTATCCTTACGGAATCCTGCCTGTTGGTCTCGAAGTTGGGCGTCTACGCAGTCCTTCATCCTGTTTAACAATACCCTGTTGAAGACTTTTCCCGGTATTGAGAGAAGAGTGATGCCTCTGTAGTTATCACACTTGCTGAGATCGCCTTTCTTCGGTATTTTGATCAGAAGTCCTTCTTTCCAGTCTGTTGGTACTTGTTCCTCATCCCAAATCTTATTGAAGAGAATGTGGAGTATCCTTGCAGTTGCCGCTACGTCTGCTTTTAGTGCCTCTGCCGGGATGTTGTCCGGTCCTGCTGCTTTGCCACTCTTGATTTGCCTGATGGCCATGCTGATTTCTTCAATTGTTGGTGAACCAACATTGATTGGGAGGTCCGTGGGTGCTGCTTCGATGTTGGGTGGGTTCAGTGGCGCTGGTCGATTCAAGAGTTCTTTGAAGTGTTCTATCCACCTGTTTTGTTGCTCTTCAATGTGGGTGATTACCTTGCCTTCCTTGCTTTTCACTGGTCGTTCTGGTTTGCGGCGATTTCCAGAGAGCTTCTTTGTCGTGTCATACAATTGTCTCATGTTTCCTTCTCTTGAAGCCTTTTCCGCCGTCGTTGCTAAATCTTCCACATATTTACGTTTGTCGGTTCTGATGCTCCTTTTCACTTGTTTGTTTATTTCCGTGTATTCAGCTTGTGCCTTAGCTTTTTCTGCTCTTGTTCGGCTGGTATTGATCGCTGCCTTCTTGTTTCTTCTCTCTTGAATCTTATCCAGTGTATCAACAGTGATCCATTCCTTGTGGTGGTGCTTCTTGTGACCCAGGACCTCATGACATGTTGAAGTGATTGCCTCTTTGATCCCCTTCCAGTTGCTCTCCACAGTAGTTCCTTCTCCATTGAGTAGATCATGAAAGGCCTGGAACTTGTTGCTGAGGACTATCTTGAATTTGTTGAGTTTGTTAGTATCCTGAAGAAAGGCCGTATTGAACTTTTGTGATACTGTCTGCCTCGTTGTCCAGTGCTTCTTGAGTTTCAATTTCATCTTGGCGACCAGTAAGTGATGATCTGATGCTATATCAGCTCCTCTCTTGGTTCTCACGTCCTCTATAGTCCTCCTGAACGTTTTGTTGATGCAAATATGGTCGATTTGGTTTTGTGTAGAGTGATCCGGTGAAGTCCATGTGGTTTTGTGTATGCGTTTATGTGGGAATATGGTGCCGCCTATGACCAGCTTATTGAAGGCACATAGATTTGCAAATCTCTCACCATTTTCGTTTCTTTCTCCCAGTCCGTGTCGTCCCATGATGTCTTCATATCCAGTGTTGTCCGTTCCAACCTTGGCGTTGAAATCTCCCATCAGAATGGTCAGGTCCTTTGTTGGGCACTTCTCGACGATTGACTGCAGCCTATTGTAGAATCGATCTTTAGCGTCTTCATTGTGGTCGTTGGTAGGCGCATAGCATTGGATGATGTTCATTGAAATGCCCTCTTTCTTTGTTTTGAAGGAGGCTTTGATGATCCTTGGTCCATGAGATTCCTATCCTATAAGTGCATTTTGCGCTTGTTTGGACAGCATCAATGCAACTCCTTGTGTATGTCGGGCATTTTCTTCTTCATGGCCGGAGTATAACAGGAGCTCTCCTGTAGTTAGTCGTTGTTGTCCAACTTGTGTCCAATGTGTTTCACTGATCCCAAGTACCTCTAGGTTGTATCTTCTCATTTCTGCAGCAATTTGGAAGGCTCTTCCGGTGTCCCACATTGTACGAACATTCCATGTACCTAAATAAATGGTTGCTCTGGTTGTCAGAAGGGGCATCGGCCTCGTAACTTCCGAAGGAATTCGGCTTTCATCATGAGGCGTCATAATTCTTCTAAATGAAGACCTTCTGACTCCCAGGGCAGAGTTTAAAAGGTTTGAATAATTTTTTCTGGTTAGCGTTTTTTTTAGCGAGTTAGTTTTCTACGGGATGGGGACGCTAACCCCATGCCCAACCCTCCTCCTTTATCCGGGCTTGGGACCGGCAGTAGCCCCCGGAGGGACTCCAGGCGGAGTTAATAGTAAAAATAGCGAAATGTAATTAAAGTTTAAAGTGACTCATACTTTTCCGACTGAAATTATCATGGATATTAATACAAATTTTTAATCTGTACACTTTTCATAGTTTTTTGGGCGTCTACTTCTGTTTCTAATATAGGTTTAAGCAGGAGCATCTCCATCATCATTATCTGTTTTCTAACGAAACATTTTAAAATAAGGTTGTTCGAAGGTACATTTTACTAACGCATGCTTAATATAGTTTGTGTATGTTGCGGCTTGAGTTATTTTAATCTCTGGTTTGTTTAGTTCAAAACTAAATGTAAAATAGACATTTGTATCTACTAAACAAAGTTCTTCCAAACAGTTATTTTTGTGTTATTTGTGGATATCAAGGAGTCAAATTGAAGCGGGTTATAGTGTTTATCTTATATGGTTTGTTAAATAGAAATTTATTTTTATATCTCTTCTTTGTCTGTCATTGACAAGCATATTAATATGTTAATCAGACCACATCGTTTGTAAACATTTGCAGGGAAAATTCACTAGAGAACAACTTTCAGATTCATTATTTCTTGTTAAACTTAAGATTTATTAACGGATATACATGAACTTAGTTTGTAAAAACGATATTATTTTTCCTACCTCGTCTTTCTGTGGTATATTTTATGGTTGACATTTTCGTAATTGAGCATGTAGTTAACTGTCATCGGTACTGTACTAAATAGGCACTTTTTTCAATTCAGCAATCACTCATATGGCTATTCACTATTATGAAAAGGTCCTTGATATGGAGCCTATTGGGAACAATCCTGAAGAGAAGTCTGTGAGTCTTGCTTTCTTTTCTCTGAATATACACTATTGTTATTATTGCGGAGGTTAATTAACTTAACCTATATTCGTTTATTGTTTTGGTTTAAAAACTCTTGTCATACGTATCTTCTGACTGCATTTATTATTCTTTCACTTTTGGTTTATTTTATTAGCTTACTAATCTGTATAAAGAAGCTGCTTTCAATTTAGCTCTTTTGTATCGAACTAATGGGAATCCATCAATGGCTCGTCATATACTCCAAAAATACGTTGTCATCTAATAATGTGTTTATATTTTTTATGATTTATTAACTTTTTACACACAATAGTATATATAAAAGTCTAACTCAAGCTTTTAATTTCCCTTAAGATCTGTTTTAAATCAAATTATTATTTCTTACTGGTATAACCAATTAGCTAACTATGTCAGCATTATAGACCAGCTCAAAACCAGGTTGTGCAGTTGTAAAAATTGATCTCTACCGACCTAGTCTGAGATACTTGTGACGTACAAATTGTGGATAAATATTGTTTGAACTAAGAGTGTATGTATTCAGACTTCAAACGAAATTTTACTAAAGGTCCCTTGTCTTATTTGTCAAAACTTACACATCAATCATATCGTACGAAATGAAAGTGACAGATTCAGTGGAAAACAGAAACACATTCCTTTGTGCTACTTTTTAAAAGTGATCCTACTTAGAAGCATATCAAGTCCCAGTTTTTACAGTGATTAATTTTCGCTCCACCTAAACTCCAATAAACCTGGTTGCTTATCTTAGAGCAAGTTAAATAGTCACGTTCACACTGCTGGAACATTGTTTATTTATTCGAGAATCCATAGTCTCGAGTTTTCAGTACTTCTAAATACTTTCTTATTTAAAACTAATGATTTCATTTCATTGTGTAGAAGTTTCATTTTTTGTAGATAGGAACCAGATTGACTAGTTTCATACCCTTACAAATTGCTAAACAAGAATGTGAAGCATTTCAATAGGAGAAAAATCTTAGTAAACACGTAGAATACCAACCAATTTTCTGTCCGAGAACTACCAATTTCGTGAAACATTGTATAAAACAGTCGTGCCGTATAGGCAGGAAGACATTATCTTGTGACGCCAAATTATAATTACAAGCGCTAGTGTTCCCGAATAGTCGGTTTAAAATTTTAGGATAAATTATTTGATTGACGTCACTGGGAAACAGATTAATACTGACTTGAAATATACTAACTAGTGATGCGAAGAGACGGCATGATGCAGAGTTCGTGAGAGGTACTCCTGGTATGCTGAGAGAGTCCTCGGTACACAGAATACTATTTTGTACGCAAAATAAGCTGTTGAGACCATATAAATGTCCGGATTTCACTTAGTAGTTTATTGACAAGTATTGACAAACGAATATTGATCGAAACCGGATTAACAATTACTGTCATTAGCAAATAAATCATTAGAATCTATAAATACAGTGATGAATAGTCTTCATACTTATGATTCAGATGTCCTCGGTATTAACTCGAGTGCAGTTCCGTTCAGTCATGTTGAAAACATGAATATCATATATGCAAATCTTAAATATTCCTGATGAGAAAAAGTATGTTAACTCCATTGAAAAGTGTGAAAAACAAACAATGGTGTTTGCCAATGATCCCAAATTCTCACTCAACGGTAATCGCTTTAAGTTTGTCATACTCTTTATAACTCTCTACATCTCGTTCACATAAACCTAAAATATCAATTTTTATGTTGCCGCTATCACTTCTGAGTGGTCATATCAGTGGTCTACATATTTGACTTGAAAACGTTTCCCAGTCAGTCATGTTCAGTTTGGGACATGGAAAATGTGTGCATCTGTTCAAGTTGCAATACCACATCAATACACAAAGTAGTAGCTTGGTTGCTGGGTTTAGAAGGGATTACGGATAGGACATATCTGCGAAGATGTTTATTGCGATGAACAGTCAAGGTTAGTGATCTAAAGGTAGAAAGGTAAAGAGTAAACGTATTTTCACAGCTGCGAAGGGTTCTCAATCATGTCACACTAATCGTTTACTACAATAGGCGCACATAACTAAATCAGCTGGTTTGCACTTAAAAGTGACTTCGTTTGACTACTTCTGATTGGCTCGTTATATCACTGTGCATCCATTGCAACTACCAGCTAGCTTAAATCGAACCCCTTTCAATATATCGGCAACTATGTCTGAACTGATTCATCCTGACTTTCAAGTGTTTTGGAATCTATGGATCATGAAGGTATTGCGGGCAAAATGGCCGAATACCTGTGGCATCTTCAAGTTCAACTAAGTATGAATTCATGCCATTTTTTGGCCTGACCGACTTTCAGCCTATTTTTCCTGTCCTTAATGTCCTCTCTAGTTGGACAGTGCACAACAAATTGTCCATTTGATTCTATTATATATAAGCCTGCTCTGTTTTTGATTTTAAGACTATATGATGTCGCAATCAAAAACCTAAATATATGAGGACCACGTCTCGATTCTGCGTTCCGGAGAAAGCACAACAATCTAGAGTCTCATCTAAGAAGCATCTGTACGTCAAAGATTTTGATGCGGGACGTGAGAATTTCTAGGGTGACATTTTTGGATGCGACTTTGTAGATCGTTCCTTCCGTTGTCAGTAAATACCATCTTGTGGGAACACCTAAATTTCGTCAGTGTTCAGTAAATCCGGTACAACCAATATGATTCGATCATAAGTTTATGCACATTTATCGGTCACTGTTCGTCTAGGTAAACGTGGTTTACGTTGAACTGCTATTTTCAACGAGAAATGGGGTTGGTTTTAATTCTTAACAACAAGTAGCGGAATGTGCAAGCACTTGTGTGACCACGTTAATGGCTGGGATTTTCGCATTACTGTGGGTCCCAAATTCATCTCGGGAATGACAGACGCTTCCTCTCGCCGAATCTAGGTTGGTTGAAACACCAGAGGGGTTTTGTTTTCAATAATGAACCACTTTTTCGTCACTCGCGCACCAACAATTGTCTCCAACTAATCACTCGTCTGACCTTGGGGACTCAACCCCCACCCCCGAAAAGCCTTTGAATTTGCTGTGATATAATACGACATTTACACCTAGAATTTCACAACCCTCGTTACATTCTATTCTTCAGCTTATCGCATAATCATAGCCGTTACAGCAGTAAGAGTAAAACTATTCTTTTGTTCATTATGCTATATGCTAGGAGTGTGAAATTTAATGACAACATTTAGATTCAGTACTTTTAGAAGAACGGAAACGTTACGGGTGGCACATGCTATCAGTCAGTCAGCTACAACGTAGAGCCAGGCATATATATGCATCGGTCCATATCGCATTAGCACAGCAAGATGAACAACAGATTCATAGGAATGGCTAAGTCAATGGTTGTAATATATAAAGAAAGATTGCTTATAAGAATATAGTACAGGAAGATAGGATTAGTTCGTAAAAAGAAAGATATGAAGTTATTTTAATCTCTTAGTTTAAAGGAAGACAGAGAGTGTAAACAACATCTACGCCATGGTGATCGATTCTGAGCCATGTCACTGAGAGTCTCCAACCATTGGTTACGATAGTCACGTGCATCCCAACCAAGTAGTCTGCATCTATCAACATGGTTCAGACTAGAAGTTAGTGGCTTTATGAACTGATGCCACATTTTGGTTTGGCCGCCCCTAACTTTCTTCCAACCATTCCCAACACCGGTTAGCATTGCACGTCGTGGTAATCGGTGTTCAGGCATACGCAACACGTGGCCCAGTCATCTCAGTCGGCGAAAATTCACAACCTCATCAAATGATTTACCATCATTCCCTAATAACTTGCGTCTAACCTCACTACCACTTACTCGGTGTTCCCGGCAGATGCGAGCAATATTTCTATAACGCATCTGTGGTCAAATATTAGTAGCTTACGAGTATCCTCTACTCTTAATAGCCACGTTTCGCAGTCGTAAAGTAGAACAGAACGAACTCCTGTGCAGTATACTCTTCCCTTGATTGGTAAACAGATATATCACCTTCGCTATAGGTGATGTAAGTTGGCAAAAGTCAAACGAACTTTCTGAATCCGTGCAGAGATTTCGTCAGACACCAACTCATTAAGGCTGACCAGACTTCCAAGATAAGTGAAGTTGTCGACGCGTTCAACAAAATTAGAGAAAATGGAAAGATAGAGATGTAGAACAGATAAAACAGTAAAGATCTCCTCTTATTGTGTTGATAATTGAGGCTTGACATTCTTATGAAAAACATATGGTTACTGAAGTGACAGACTCAGAGAATTCGATGGGTTTGCACCACTTTTAGTATGATAAATTCTGCCGATGTTTGCAAGAAATGATGTTACAAACCTGAAACTCTATCTACAGTTAAGCGTTTTCAACAGACTATGGCGGGACTTATTTTCATGGGCTACGTATAAGAGCATAGGACGCACACCAGCACTCTTCATCACACCTTTTCCTGGGAAATTTTTTGGCCTTCCTCTTTTCCGCTTCTCTCCAGCATTTCAAGTTAGTATTTGCTTCGTGATGCAGTCTGATGGTTTCTCTAATGTGTATCCTATTCACATCCAGACCCTTGTCTTAATTTCCTCCTAGATTGGAAGTTCGTCTGTCCTCTCTCACACTAGGCTGTTGCTGACGGTAACCGGCCATTGGACACACAATTTGTCACATAGACAATTGCCTACGAATACCTGTGCCTTTTTGATGATGATCGTAATAGTTCTTTAAGTCTCAGCTCCGTAGAGCAGGACTATCTTGACGTTCGTATTTAAGATTCTTATTTCGATATTGGTTAGCAGTTGTTTTGAGTTCTGTATTTCCTCCAACCATAGGAATGTTATCCTTGCTTTGCTAATCCTCACCTTTAAGTCTGCAACAGATCCACCTGTTCATAAATTTTGTTTATCAAGTACGTGGAAGTTTCCATCTCTTCCAGAGCTTCTCCATCAAGTGTGACTGGGTTGATGCTTGTTGAGTGCTGCTACGCTGACTGTGTTTGTTGGTGTGTATAGGATAGAAAAGCTAGGTCGTCTACGAAGTCCAGATCATCTGGTTGCATCCAAGCTGTCTATTTTATCCCGTGTCTCCCCTCAGATGTGGAGGTCTTTATAATGCAGTCAACCACAAGAAGAAAGAGAAAGGGGCATCCTTGTCTGACTGCAGTTCTCACTTAGAATGCATCTGTCAGCTGTCCTCCATGCACGACTTTGTAGTGTAGCCCGTCGTACGAATTCCCGATGATGTTGACGATTTTTTCAGATACTCCATAGTGTCGAAGAATTTTCCATAATGTTGTCCTATCCACACTGTCGAATGCTTTCTCATGATCAAGGAAGTTGGTGTATAGTGACGA